TGCTGTGCACTCAGGCCCTAGAGAAAGGACCACAGGCTGCTGGTGGCGACCCCACACCAGGTGGGAAGTACGGACCAAACAGCTTAAAGGACAGAACTCTGCAGGTGTCGATCCTGAGTCAAGACTGTCTGAAGGGGGAAGTAACAGCCTCCCAGCTCCTGGCTCCCAGCTCGGGAGAGTTTCCCTTGAGCGCACCGCCACATCCTCACCCCCAGCACACAGAAGCTACCGGGAGGATTTCTGAGTAACTGCACTTGAATGCTGACCTGGGGGGGCAGGGGCTCCGTATTGTTTTTGAGCGGGGCTGCAGCGGCTGGGCAGCTTGGGCATCCCTGATGAGTGCTGGGCTTGTGGCCAGTTCCTGAGGGCTGCAGCATTCCGGAACCTTCAGGCTGGTTCCCTGCCAGTTCCCTTTAAGGCAGGAGCACCTTGAAGGTCACGAAGGAGAGAGTGCAGCGAGAAGGGCCCAGTTTTCCCAGAAGCCAGGGGAGGTGGGCTCTCTGAACTCAGGACCTGGAGGCCCTGAGCGTTCAGGGTCCTAAGTCAGCATGGCCAGTGCCCCGGGCCCTGGGGATGCCACAGAAACAGGTATCCCCAGAACCTCAGGATGACGTGGGCTCAGCCCAAAGCAGAAGTTGCCCAGGCACCAAAGCCGGGCCCTGAGCATCCCTAGCATTATTAGGGGCCGTCACCGGGGGCCAGGTCAGGCCTTGGTTTCTTCCTGGAAGAGAAGAGGTCTGTGACTGCAGGCTGGGGTTGCTTTCCATGGATGCTTCCCCGGGCGACGGAGGCAGGACCTGGTCTGGGAGCCTGCTGTCACCATGGGTCTTGTGGCTCTGTGGCTTAGTCTGGACCGAGCCTGGCACCAGGCCCTGCGGTGCTCCCTGTGCTTGGAGTTGGGTTCTGGCCCATCGTGGCCATCACCCTTCTGCTGTCAGGACTCACACTTGAGAGGGGCTGGCTCACGGAGTCCCGTCTGGGATCCCTTCTGAGGCTGCACGGCAGCTCTTGGAGGCCATGTGGGCTCTCCTCCTCCCTCAGGGAACAGGTCTGTTCTGCCTGCTGCCTGGCTGTACCCATTTGTCGCTCCTGGGTGTTTCGGGGCCTTTGGTGCCTCCGGGCGTGGCTGTCCTGGTGGGGGCTTTCTCCGCACCCAGCCAAGCCCACAGGAGCCCCTTCATTTGCAAAATGGACCCAACGGCTGCCCAGGAGAGGGAGGGGCTCTCGGCCAGATGTCTGCAGAGAGCACCCCAAGGTTGGGGTGCGTTTGATCAGCCTGGTGTCCAGGCCCTTGGCTCTCCATGAATAGACCTTCCTGAGCCAAAGCACTACCGTGTGTGAGAGATTCCTGCCTGCAGAAAGAAGACACCTGGACTGTCAGCTGAGACCCTCCGTGGACATGGCCTGCCTCCGCCATGTCCCCTTGGCCACGAGGAGGAGAGTCGTCCTGTGGGGGTGACGGCCGGAGCAGCACTTGTTTGGGAGGCAGAGGAGTGGTGCTGTGTGTCTGGGCTGCCCCATCGCCTCGCCAGCCCGCCCTCCGTGTTTACCTTGCTCACCGGCCCACGGAACCGGCCACCGTCTGGGACTCAGGCTCGCGCCTCACCTGCAGCCGCTTCCTTGTGGCCCAGACGTTCTGAGGGCGCTCTGTGCATGTCTGGCTGCCCCAGGACCTGTTTCTGGGTGAGCAGACAGCAGCTCCACCCAACATTTCCAGGGAACATTGGCCTTTGTCACCGGCGCTGCTGCATCTGTGGCCCCACCACCCTGGCCCACTTCTGTGGGCTGTCCCTTCTCCTGCCACAGCTCTTTGGGGAGAAATAAGTATGTCTGCCCAGCTTCGTAGTTCAGTCTCCCCGGCTCCTGCCGACAGGGCCTCATCCTCAGCGCTGGGAGCCGTTGATCGATCACTGCCAAACCCAGACAGGTGTTTCCCTTCACTTCTGGCCTGGTTTTCTCAATGTGTGTGTCTTTAGAAACTCTGGTTAGTGTGTGGGCCCACGAGCGTGAGCGTGTGTGTGCCTGGGTGTGCACGCGTGCTGGGGTTCTGGGAGAGGACACCCACCCCGTACTGAGTGTGCGTGCAAAGCCGCGGGCTGGCTGCTCAGCGGAGAGCTCACGTGTCTGAGTGCTGTGTGTCTGTCGCGTGCATATGTCTGCATGTCTCTGTGTGTTTGCGTGGCGCAGAGCCCACTGCCACGCACACTCGCCCTCCACGTGAGCGCGTGACCTGTGCCCTCTAATGCTGTCTTCTCGTCTCACCCCTGTGCTGTTGCTGCTATGTGCCGTCCCTGTGTCTGTCGCTGCCCTGCAGCCCTCGCCAGTCGTGGAGGAAAAGGTAAAGCCTGGGCTGGCGTTCATGCTGCTGTGCGGGGCGCTCGGGATGCCCTGGGGTTCGGGAGAGTCGGTCCTGCTGGTGGTCCTTAATTACAGGGCCAGGGCTCGTCCTCGACCCACTTGACAGATTTCTCTGCAGCGATATTATGGATCACAGACTCTGGGTGTGGCACTTAGAGGCCAGGCAGCAGACGCAGCGGGCGGGACCCAGGTCCCCGAGACAGCCTCAGAATAGGTAGCAGCACAGGGGCCCCGCCCGGCAAACGTCCATGGTCGCAGATGGGCCCTCGGGCCTGAAACCCTAGGCTGGCACTGCAGGGAGGCGGTGGGCATGGGTGGAGACCCCGCACTCTGGCGTCAGACGGACCTGGGCTCACAGTCGGCTCAGTCACTCCAAGTACTGGCCTGGAACCGGCGTGTGGCTGTGACCCTTGGAGGCAGCCTGACCTCTACAGGCAGCGTGACTCCCTCGGGCTGTAGCTTCTGGACGAGCATGGCATCTCCCAAAGGAGCAGCGGGATGTGACAAGGGGACACTGTGGCCGAGCTCTGGACAGGCAGTGCCCCACACGTACCCCCAGGGCTTGTGGAGCAGGCCACACGTGGCTCTGTGAGGAGCAGAGAGAAGATGAGGCTTGATTCCTGGGGATGATGCCCATTGCAGGAGAGCAGCCTGGCCGTCTCTGGATGCAGTGTGTGTCCTTGCACACAGCTCTGGAAGCGGGTGACAGCACGCATCCCCCCCGTTGTCCTTTGAGGCAGGACGCTCACACTCTGCCCCTTGCCTGGGGCCAAGGGCCCCGCTGTGCATTTCTCCCATGGTGGAGCTGGGCCCCAGGAGAGGGGTTCCTGCACCGGCACTGGGAGCCCAACGAGGAAGAGTGAGCAAAGGATGTGCCCGGGAGCCTCGGGGGAGCAGACGCTATGGCTCTGGAGGCCGGCCCCTCCTCCAGGGATGTGCTGACCTTGTGGCCACTGGCACCTTCCCAGACACCCGGGACCAGGCAGGCTGTGGCAGAGGGCAGTCAGGGGGCAGAGCCTCAGGGCCTGCTGAGGTTTTGATGTACCTGCAGACGCAGAGCTCCCTAACTTGGTGCCTTTCTTGGGGTCTGAGCGTCTTTAACTGTCAGGTGACCAGCTGAGACGTGCCTGAGAACACATCCTCTATCAGGGGGACAAGGGCTGCGTGAGGCGCCTGTGATTGTCCACAGGAAACCAGCTTCCTGGGTGGCCTAGGCCCTGATGTGCGGAGGTGCCGGCGGCTCCAGCCCCTCGGGAGCACGCGCTCCTCTGGTGCTGTCCCTGCCACAGACCAGCTCCCGGGACAGCACAGCCCGCTCCCAGCTTTGCGGGAGACAGCATCTTGCTGAACGGGATGCACCAGCCAGCCTCGGACCAGACAAAGCAGGACTCTGGCTCAGCCTCTGTGTTCTCCTGCTTCATCCCAGCCCTGGCTGGCCCCCAGAACCACATGGGGGCCCCAGCCAGAGAGCCCCCGCCTCCCAGGGTCATGCTTCACAAAGCTGCCTGCCTGGCTGTAGGAAGTTCTCGTGGACCGTGGCTGCTCCATTCTTGCAAGCACTGCAAGGAAGCCGCCCACCTTCCCTCTCCAGAGCGGTCCAGTCTCCGGACCTGGCTGTCTGGGAGTCCTGAGGAAGCGTCCACCACTCCTCACACCGCGGTCCCTGGGGGTCGAGCTCTGTGTGCAGGGCTCTGATGCTCTGCCACAGCAGCTCTGAGCAGCGCAGGCTGTCGGGTGGATGACCATCTCTGGGTGCGCCGCGTCCACCCTGGGGTGGCACAGGGAGCTGGCCGGGCTGCGTACCACCTGGTGCCCCATCAGAAGCCCCCGATGGGGCGTCTCCGCAGGAACTGAGCCTAGCAGGCAGCTTTGGGCTCCATCCTGACTCCAGGAGACCTGCATTCCCCGTCTCCTGGCACACCTTTGAAAGAGCTCCCCTCTGGGGTCCGTGCTCCCTGACAACCGGGAAGAACCGCATGGAGCCGGAGAAAGGGGCCCCCGTGGGCTCTAAAGGACACGATACCAGCAGCAGGATGGGGGCCTCTCTTTACTCTGCATATCCAGGCGGACATTTTACCCTGAGGAGAGCTGACAAAGGAACAGCGAAGGAGTCGGGTGGGGGACAGGGAGCAAAGAACAGAGCTGAAGGGTTGATTCCTTCTGCCTGGCCCCAAGAGGCAGGCCTGGGCTCCGCGTAGGAAAGACCGTCATGGTAAATGTGGCCACTCAGGAGCACTCTGTGCCGGCCTCGATGCCGAGGGGCCTGCTGCTGGCACTGCCGTGGGATTTCTTAGCCTACAGAGCAGCTCTCTGTAAAGTCAAACTAACCAAAAATGACAAGTCACAGTAGACCAAAGGGGAAGGGTCCCTTAGGCCCGCAGAGCAGCTGAGGTGCCCCTGAACACGGGAACAGGTTTGGGGACAGTGGAGCCGTAGCTCAGGGCACAGGCAGCCCCGGTGCAGACCGGGCTGCCCCGGAGCTCACACCCCGCCCCGCACACCGGGCCCTCATCCAGAGCAGCTCGGTCTGCAGGGCAGGCCTCCGTGCGTCCAGAAAGCCTCCAGTTCTCGAGCTGTGAGCCCCGTCTAACGTCTGCTTCCTCCCTCTCTCCCTCACATTTCAGCAGGAAGGAACGCCCCACCTCTCTGAATGTCTTCCCCCTGGCTGACGGCATGGTACGTGCACAGATGGGGGGCAAGCTCGTGCCTTCGGGGGACCACTGGCACCTGAGTGACCTCGGCCAGCTGCAGTTCACCTCCAGCTACCAGGTTTTGTAGCCGTGCTGTGGAGTGAGGGTCCCTCCCTGTCACCCATGCTCATTCAGGAAGCGTCTTTGTGTACAACCCTTTGCAGCTTCCCCTGCACCCGGGGTAGTGGGGCTGTGTGCGGAGGTGTGCCAGCACACGAGGGAAGCACCAGCCCGGGAGGCACGGGCCTCACACGGGGCCTCGGGGCCTCTGCAGCCAGGGCGTACCTGTCTGTTCGGGCTGAGCTGAGCCTTTGTTCTGGGGCACAAGCATGTCTGTCCCCCAGACCCAACCCAGAAGACCAGCCCCGAAGGCCACCCTGGGCGCCATCCTAGAGCGTCTTGCATCATGGTGTCTGAGGTTTGCACGTCCACTGGATACAGTAGGGTGAGGGGCCAGTATCTCCCCTCTAGCCTGCTGCTACCTTCCTGTCCATGCTATTGACTGCTGGGTCTCTGAGTTTGGGGAGGTGGCTGTCCTGGGTGCGCGCAGCTAACCAGGGAGTGCAGTGCACCCCTCAGCGGGGGCCCCCGGACAAAGCCCGGGGCAGGGATTTTCCCTGACCCACCACTCAATCAGGGCCCCTGGTCACTTGTGGCCAGTGTTGGTCTGTGAGCTCAGCCCTCCCTTCGCCAGACAGGCTGTGGCCGCATCACCAGGTAAGGATGCTGCCCTTGGGGCTGGAGGAGGTGACCCCAGGCCTGGGGCACTTCCTGCAGAGCCTGTGGGAGGTCGCCTGCGGAAGGCGAAGCACCTGGGCCTCCAGGCCTGGCTGGGCCAGCAGATGTGGGGCCTGGACTTCTCCCAAAGCTTCTTCTTGCTGCAGCTTGTGGCTGACTATCCCTTTGTTCCTGGGTGTCCAGCCTGCCTGCAGGAAGTGGCTGCAAGCTGCCCACTCTGTCAGAAAGTGACCCCACTCGCTTCAGCTTTTGTTCCAGACAGGGAGCATGTCTCTGCGACCTCTGACCCAGGCGCTCACCCCCCGCCCCTGTTATGGGCCGCCCTGCCTGTGTGCAGGGCCGGCGGGAGGCTGGGGCTCCTCCACACACTTGCCGGGAGAAGCCGCAGGGGCCCCCCGAGGCCGGGGGCTCAGAGCCCTGCCTCCCGCCTGAGGCCGAGCCAGCTTTCTTCCCATGTCTCTTCTTTCTCCTGCCTCGTCGTCCGAAGTAGTCTTGCTTTTCATCCCACTGTTTTATGTTTCAGTTTGTAGGTGTGTTTGATTTGATTTTTTTAATTATGTTTAAGTTCTTTTTATTTCATGCTCTAGGTTTTAAGGTCTTTCTAATTTCTTAATTTTTTTTGTTGTTTTTTGTTTTGTTTTTTGTTTTTATGTGCTGTATTTTCAGTGTTTTAACCAAACAGTTGTGGCTACTCATGGTGAGGAATGACCGCTAAGAGTTTGGGTTCTTTGCATTTGGAGGTCACTGCCACACGTTGGTGTTTAGGAGGTTGAGAGGTTTGCCGCTAGGTAAGTGGTGGCCAGGGGAGCGTCCCGCGGGTAGGTGGCGGCCTGTAGGGTCAGAGAGAGCCAGGGACTGGGGGAGGCCTGACCGTGCCACACGGTTCCCCTCGGTGACTTCTGGGGTCAAGGAGGCCCACTGCGAACCTGCAGACCCGAGTTTGCCAAGCATGGACAGGCCGGGAACCGGGAACCGTGGCCTTGAGGAAGGTGGTCCAGAAAACGTATGGTTCTGAGAGGCGTGGACTCACATACTGGGCCTCCCCCAGCCCTCGCCAGACTTCCCTGTGCCTCTGGTCTCCTGTGGCCCTCTCTCCTCGAGGGCTGGCAACAGAGGCATCCCCTTGCCTGTGGGACGCCTGGGAGCCTCCACCGTGTGGGGCGGACAGACCGCTAGGGCAGCTCCATCACAGAGGCTCTCAGGAAGGGATTTTTCCTTCTCAAATTGGCCTTAGGCTGTAGATGCCAAGTAGAAGAGGCTTGTACCAGGGTGCTTCTAGGGGGAGAGGCACAGGCTATTACGCTGGGCATACCACCTCGGCACAATGATATGGGCCAGTTCTCAGCTCTGGGGGCTGTCCGGGGGCCTGCAGGACAGTGAGCAGACATTCCCCGCCTACACCCACCGGACGCCAGGAGTGCCCACCCGTCCCCAGTCGTGACAGCCACAAATGTCCCTGACATCGCCAAGCATCCCCTGGGGACACGGCGGGCCTTGTTGTGGAATAGTGAGAGTTATGGCAGGGAAGTGTGAAGGGACGTCAGATAAAGCCAGACATGGCCATCCCAGGCTCTGGCCTGACGCTGACCACATGGGTCAGGAAGTGGCAGGTGTCAGGATTCCCAGCCAACTGGCTCTTCACGAGAGCCTAGTCAGCCCTTCCCAGGTGAAGGTGGGTGTAGGTTGGTCCCAGCGTGCATCCAGCTTTACGGAGAAGGCCAAACACCCCCGCCATCAGCTCCTCCCCTGTGAGAACTCCCGGAAGCACCCCTTCCGTGGAAATCACGTGATCCAGTGCTGTGGGCCCCTGGGGTATGCACCAGGAGCTGCAGCCCCTCCTGAGGCCATGCCCCTTCTCCGCACCCCAAGAGGGTAGCAGGGTGTGTGGGGGGCTGCTGCCCACTGAGGACTGAATCGGGGTGAGTCGGGTCATGAGTGTTAGTAGACGAGTGGGCCACTTCACGGATACTGTCCGATGGTTTCACAAGGAAGGACTGTGGGAGAAGAGTGGTTTTGTTTCCCGTGCCATACTTACTCACATAGAGTGTATTCTCTCCAGGGAGAATCTGGTTGTTTTTTTTTTTAAAGACTTTTTTTTTTTTTTTTTTAAGTAATTTCCACACCCAACGCGGGGCTCAAACTCACTACCCCGAGATCAAGAGTTGCATGCTCCACCGTCAGAGCCAGCCAGGTGCCCCTCCAGGGAGATGTTTAAGGTCAACAGTTGATTGCAGTTTTTAAAAATAATCTGATCTCTCTCGGAATGTTTTGAGGATGACCCATTCTCTGGAAGTGGGACTACAGTTTGACTGCATATCCATAGCTACGTAGGGCAGACCCTGAGGTCCAGTTGAGCCGTGAGGGTTAAGAATTACACATCCCCTGGTGTCTCCATGTTTGGGAGGTCGGGGCCCCTTCCAAGGCCCAGATTGGGCCCAGGGCAGGAAGCAGGAGACCTCAGCAGCCGGCCACAGGCCAGACGGCTTGATCAGAAGGCATGCTCGGCCTCCTCCCTGGTCCCCATTTGGAGCCCTCTGCCCAGCCCTGGACCGCCACTTGTTTCTGACCACCCCCTGGCTGCAAAGGGTTGCTTGCCATGTTCGTGTAGCTTCATGTCCATCACACGCGGCATTGGCGGGCTGCCGGGAGCGCGCAAGCTAACAGCCCCAAGCCAGATTCTTTAGATAATAAAGTGTCAGCGGCCTCCGGAAACCCAGAGGCAGTGGCTGGGTGAACCCCGGGATAGGCCAGAGGAGTGGGCTGGACAGGAGAGCAGGGGTCCCCCAGTCACCTCCAGTCCTGGCTCCGGGTGCTGTTTTACCGTGGCCAGAGAAGTCGAGCGAGGGGGCCTCACGGAGGTGGCCGAGGCCCCCGCTGACCCTGCACAGTGTGCGTCACCGGGAGCCTCGCGGGCGTGCCGACCCACATGGCGAGCTTCGCCCTTCCCTGTGTTTGGCCCTAGTGTCCGCAGGATGAGATGTCCGAGTCAGGCCAGTCTTCGGCAGCTGCCACACCCAGCACCGCGGGCACCAAGTCCAACACGCCCACGTCCTCTGTGCCCTCGGCCGCCGTTACGCCGCTCAATGAGAGCCTGCAGCCCCTGGGGGACTACAGCGCCGGCACGAAGAGCAGCAAGCGGGCGCGAGAGAAGCGCAACAGCCGCAACATGGAGGTCCAGGTCACGCAGGAGATGCGGAACGTCAGCATAGGTGCCACGCAGGCCCTTGGGCTCTGGGGACTGTGGCGGGGAGGCCGAGGGAGCCACTCATAACCTGCCCCTGCGGGTCCCGCCCCCGCTGCCCCGCCCTTCGCTGCCCCGCCCCTCCCCTGCCGGCCCCCCCCCCCCCCTGGCTCCGCCTTCTCCTGCCCCTGCTGCTCTGCTGTCCCCGCCCCTCCCCTGCGGGCCCCGCCCCCTGCTGGTTTCACCTCTGCTGTCCCGCCCTCCCCCGCTGCCCCCGTGAGGTTTCCCTTCCAAATAGGGATCTTGGTTCCCGCAGATGTATCAGTCGGCTCATGCTGCAGTAAGAAACATCACAGACCGGGTGTTTTAAGCCACAGACGTTTGCTTTCTCACAGTCCTGGCGACCAGGAGTGAGCGATCCGGGTGTCGGGGTGTCAGGGCTGGCTGGTTCTCTCAAGGCCTTGCTCCTGGGTGTGCGACGGCCGCCTCTCCGTGTGTCCTCAGCCCTTTCTCTTACAAGGACACAGTCGGATGGGGTCAGGGCTTGCCTGTGTGCCTTATTTTACCCGCACCTCTTTAAAGACCCCATCTCCAAATGCAAGTCACACGCTGGGGGCCCAAGGAGCTACAATTTCAACTTGTAGATTTGAGGGACACACTTGGCTTCTGGCGTGCACCCCTGTCATCCCGCAGACGCACTCAGTAGAGGAGGGGTGGAGGAGAAGCAGGGTATCTGGTCTGTTCATCAGAGGTCATGAAAAAGAGCCGTGGTTCTGGGGGATGGGCCCCTGCTGGTCACCAGCCAAGGAGGAGCCCTTTCCTTTTTTTTTTTTAAAAGATTTTATTTATTTATTTTAGAGAGAGAATGAGAGATAGCACGAGAGGGAAGAGGGTCAGAGGGAGAAGCAGACTCCCCGCTGAGCAGGGAGCCTGATGCGGGACTTGATCCCAGGACTCCAGGATCATGACCCGAGCCGAAGGCAGTTGCTTAACCAACTGAGCCACCCAGGCGCCCCTGAGGAGCCCTTTCCTGATGGTCCCTGGCTGGCGGTGGTCTAGTGTGGGGTCTCCACATGGGGCTGGAGGGTGGGCATCCCCCCTCACCCTGGGGTTCCTGTGTGTCCCCCCCAGGCATGGGCAGCAGTGATGAGTGGTCTGATGTTCAAGACATTATTGATTCTACGCCAGAGCTGGACATGAGTCGGGAACCCCGCCTTGATCGCACGGGCAACAGGTACTCACTGAGACTGGGGTCCCAGTGGGCTCCATGTTCACTGTGGGTGTTGGTGCCTTCGGCAGAGGTGTCCCCTGTAGCATTGCACGAGCAGCGTTGGCATTGAGCGGCACCGTGGGTGGTGGTGGAGGGTCCCCACCTGGAGCCCGTGAATGCTGCCCCCTCACCCTGAGCTCCCTGGCTGCATTTCCTCACAGCCCGACGCAGGGGATCGTGAACAAGGCTTTTGGCATCAACACTGACTCCCTGTACCACGAGCTGTCGACGGCGGGGTCAGAGGTCATCGGGGATGTGGATGAAGGAGCTGACTTGCTAGGTAAACTCAAGCCATCCCCGGGACCCCAGGGCCTTGGGCTTGCTTTTGTTGGTTTTATTATAATGAAAGCAAAGTCTCTGTCAGCTGCAAGCTAGGAACTTTTTACAGTTTCATCGAGACGTAGTTCACATATCATAAAACGTATCCACATAGAGTATAAAGTTCAGCAGGTTTTAGGGTGCTCACAGAGCTGTGTTACTTTCTAATTTTAGAACTTTCTATCTCTCTGAAAATAAAACCGCACCCTTGAGCACTCAGCCTAGGCAGTGCACTTTCTAGCAATTCTGCTCCTCAAGGAAAATGCCTGGACCGGGTCACTGCCCGTCTTTGAGCCCGCGGTCACTCCCAGAAGTCCCTGCACCTGGGTCGGAAACGGGTGCAGAGACAGTCCCTCGTGTGGGCTCACTCCGGGTCCTTTCTGTCCTGGGACGGGCGTCAGGCATGCTGGGCATCTGCTGGCAGGGCTCCGAGGCCAGGCTGCGGCCCTCAGTGCTGCAGGCGGGAAATGGGATGCTCTTGACGGCATTCAAACTGCCCCCCCTCCCGGCCCTCCCTGTGACCTTTGTCTGGAGCCAGGCTGCAGGACAGGAGCTCCGGGACCTTGGAGCTGCAGTCGGTCCCCTCCTCCCGACGAGGTAGGCTCTAGGGCCGAAGGTGGCTGTGTTGCCAGGGGATCAGTGGTTCTGCTTCGCCTTCTCCCCACGCCACATCCACAGAGGTGGCTCATGGGGAAGGGTGCTCCCCATTTCTCATGGCTCAGGCGGGAGCAGAAGCTGGAGCCAGGGCTAATGCCTCAGTGAGGGGAGGTGCCTGCAGGCGCTGTGGCCCGCATGTGGCCGCTGCACGTGGCCACCTGCTGCCCGAGGAGGCGGAGCTGCCTTGCATCCAAGAGTTTTTACTGCCAGCCTTCCTGCTGTTGTCCCTCTCCTCTGATTAACACTGGTGACCTTTTGCCATCACGGACATGAGGGCATTTGCGTGTCTGCACTGTGCTTGGCAGCTCCGTATGGATGGCACTGCCTTGGGTGGCTGAGCTGGGTTTCCAGTGGCAGACATGGCCAGGCCTGAGCCCTCCAGGGAGGGCACCAACAGGCGTTTTCCATCGGGCATACTCTCACTTTCTTTGCTTTGGGGCCATTGTCAGGTCGATTGCCTTACTTGGGGAATGGGGACCTCCCAGGAGCCCGGTTCCCCATGGCGACAGCGCCAGCAACATCCTGTGCCTGAAATGGAAGTTTTTTCAGCCAGTTTTTAAATTGTAGCAAAACGCACATAATATGAAATTTACCTTCTCGCTCACGTTTGAGTGTGCAGCTCAGTGTGATAAAGGACGTTGGCCCTCAGTGGTAAGACCAGGAGCATGAGCAGGAGGCCTGCCTTCGGCAGTGTGTGTTTCTTTTCATTTTTTAAGATTTTATTTTTATTTTTTTACAGAGAGACAGTGAGAGAGGGAATACAAGCAGGGGGAGTGGGAGAGGGAGAAGCAGGCTTCCTGCTGAGCAGGGAGCCCGATGCAGGGCTTGATCCCAGGACCGTGGGATCATGACCTGAGCTGATGTCGGAAGCTTAATGACTGAGCCACCCAGGCGCCCGGGCACTGTGTTTCTAATGGAATTTTTCTCATAAGTTTTGTAAAAACATATATTTAAAAATAAACAGAAACTTAACATTCGGAAAAAATTTACTTAGGGAAAATATTGTGACGTTTTCCCACTCTCCTTTATGGGGTTCAGATAATCCTATATATTTTCTAATTTTTATTTTTGGAAAAGCAATACATGCTTCTGGTAATATTCAAATAATATCAGAAACTGCCAAAAAGAGAGTAAAAACCACATGACCCCCGCCCATGCCGTGATGAGTATTTTACACCTTCCTGGGCACCAGAGCACACACATAACGTGGGGTGTGGTGTCAGGTCACATCTGTCCTCCCCTTTGTGGGTGATGTCACCATTTCCCTGACCCACTGATATTCCTCTACGCATTTCCCTTCACGGGTCTGTAAAGTCCTTCACTCTCTTGGTCCTGAGTTTTGCTGTCTGGACTTCTTTAGGACAGATTTCTAGGGTGGGAGCCTCCAGGTAAAGGTGTGGGCTCCCGAGAATGGCTGCACACTGCTTTCCCAGATGGAGCTGCGTCGGGGCTCTGCTTGAGATTGCGCTCACAGCTGCAGGAGCCCGGCCTGGCTGGCCTGCAGGCACTGGACCCTCTGGGCTGGGAGGGGCATGGGAAGGAATGTGCCTCAGGAGGGTTCACGCACCGGGACGAGGCTGTAGTGGGTAGCCGTGCACGCTGTGTGTGTCCACAAAGGAGCACCTTTCTGCCAGGGCCCACCTTGGAGGCTGTGCAGGTCAGAGGACACCGCCCAGTAGGCCACCATGCACTCCTTAGCGTTTGAGGGTTTGATAAGAGATTACAGCCTTCTCCTAGGAAAACACATAGGCACCCAGCAGCTTGCATTTCCATGCCGGGGTCTGGAGGCCCAGCCTCACATGCCTGTTCCTGGCTATAAGCAGCTGGAGGCATCCCGAGATGTGTTCACGGGTGGGAAGCAGAATGTAGGGGAGGGGGCAGAGCCAGAGTCCACCGGACCTCGTACTGTGGCTGATCTCGTCTCAAGATTCCACACCTCAACATGGTCACAGGAAGAGTCTCGCCGGCGTTGGACGTGCTCGGCTGCCTTTCATCCGGGGTACCACTGCTGGACCCCATGTTATGGAGGAAGAAACAAAGTCAGGGAGAGTGGGATGAAGCAGCAGGGTCAGGACCTGAACCCAGGTCCGACCTAGAGCAGAAGCCCTGACTGACCACCCGCTCCGCCTTCCGTCACAGCTGTTGGGATGGAATATGCCATTCAGTTCACCTGCTCCAAGTGCACGGTCCCATGTCTTTGAGCACTTTGAGCAAATTCAGAGTCAAGCGGTCATCATCACGTTAGAACATTTCAGCCACAGAGGAAACCTGTGGGCAGTCCCGCCCCTCCTCCCACCCCAGCCCCTGGCAGCCACTCCTCTGCTTCCTGTCCTGCACATTGGCCTCCTCTGGGCCATACCAGTGGTCCTCCTCCATGTGGCATCTCTCCTTCAGCATGACGCCTTTGAGGTTCGTGCATGTCTTGCTAGGTGTTAAGAGTCGCGTTCCTTCTTACGGGTGAGTTTGGCTGCGTTGCATGGATAAGCCACACCTTACCCATCCATTCATCCACAGATGGCCACGTGAGTCATTTCCACTCTTGGCCATAGTGGCCGATGCTTCTGCTACACTTCTGGTCCCTCACATGGTTATACAGGATTGCCAGAGCTGACCAGCCTCCTCGCTGCCTGGTGACTCGGGGTAGCCTGCCTGTCGGTCCATCCCATTGGCTACAGTCTCCCGCCTCGCCCGGGGGTTCCAGGCTGTGGATCTGTCCCCTCCCTCCCATCTTCAGGGCTGCGGAGTGCATCTGGTGTCACTCCAGATGCCACTTTCATAGAGAACCTGCATCAACGGTGATGGGAGGAAAGAGTGGTGAACCAGCAGCGCACATCAGTAAGCTTGACCTGCTGGCCACGTTGACTGAATTGGGAATGGGGTCATGACTCCCAGGCAGGTGTAGGACGGCTCCTGGAGTCTGCTGAATGTCTTGGGGGCACTTCCCTAGAACACAGAGCACCTGACACGACCTTCTCATGAGAAGAACTAACCTGTGCATCTACTGGGTCTTTGTTCTGAGAAAGTGGAAATCAGAATCCTTCTGTCATCGGGTGACAGGGCGTGAGTCACTGCTCAGCATGTCCACTGGAATACCCTGCATGGGCATCACTTCATTCTGGCGGGAATGAGCCCCATTCTTGGGAGTGAAGGAGCCTCCCAGAGCCTCAGGCTGGCAGCCTCGAGGAGTTTAGAAGGGATCAAGCGCTGTGGCACTGTGCTGATGGGGCGCTGACGGAGGAGCCCCCCCTTCGTCTGGCAAGGTGGAGAAAGGAGATGGGCTCAGCTGCAGGCCTCGGCCCATCCTTGTCTGGCTCAGCCGAGATAAGCCACAGGATGGGAGTCCTGGTCCCCCATCACCATGTGTCTTTCTGAAACCACCTGTGGAAAAGCTGTGCACCTGACCCTATGTTCCCAGTGGGGCTGCTACACAGAGAAGCCTGGGGCCAGTGGGGGGGGGGCTCTGGTAGTCTCCATTCTACAACCATTTTTGCCATGGAAAGGTCCTGTGGTTTCAGAAACACAGCAGTGCCCTTAGCTCGGCTGAGGGCGGCATCCTTCAGTGCTCCACATTCCTGCACCAGCTGTTCCCCACGCCTCTCCGCATTTGGACTGTGAATTCATTTAGCAAGAAGGAAGGAAAAAGACCCTGGAGAGGCAGGTCTTATGTTTCACTGAACTCCAGCCACCGCTTGCCAGACACACCATTATTTGAGAAATCTCCAAGAAAGCAAGGCCTTGCTGCCAGTCGAAAGAGGACAAGCCATCGAGCATGAAGCTACGTCTGGTCCCAGGGGTGCCGCGCTGCACCCCCGATAGTGGGCCTCTTGGAGCTGGCCTAACTGGGGAGTAAGGGAATTCATGCTTGGTAACTACTCAGTGCGAGCTGGAGTCTAGTGGGCAGCTCCAGCGAGCCCATGCGAGCCCATGCTGGGGCGATTGTGTGCCCCCTTCACAAATGAGGGAACTAAAGAGAAGCCAGGCAACTGGACTTAGAATCTGAAGGGCTGCATGGGCCAGCGGGCCGTGCATTCCCTGCTGCGCTGCCCTCATGTCACAGGTCCTGCCCACATGGCAGCCAGACCTAGAACGTGTATAGAAATAACCTTGAGAAAGAGACAAACCTATGTGAACAAAATTAGGAAACACGACTGAAGAGCAGAGGCCTCAAAAACCAAGACCTGCAGGCTGAGCTCCGTGAGCCTTCCCGTGACTCTCAGAGCAGTGGGTGGTTCCAACGTAAATTCACTTTATGAATGGATTCTGAGGTTCATCCAGGAGAGTAGATGTGAGAGTAGCCCAGAAATTTCTGAGAAAGAACAAGGCTGCAGGGTTGCCCGATGTTCCAGGCATGAAAGTGTTTACAAAGGTGTGACCAGCGAAGGCTGAGCCGGGGAGGTGACAAGATCGTGGCCCTGTGAGTTCCTGGTGAGAGCTGGAGCCGTGTGGGGACTCGGGTAGGACAGACGCAGCACTTCAAGCCACGGGAAATAAGGTGGATTTGTGGTGTCCCCCTGGTGGGAAATGAAGTCTGGCCCCCACCTCTGCCATACACAAGACTTGTAGTTGGATTGAAGATCTGAACGTAGAAATGCAAGGACGCAGAGCTGGAAGGGTGGTGGAGATTATATTCGTAATCTGGGCCTCCCTGCTGGGCCATGGCCATAGAGGAAAATACTGACAGGTGTGAGTCATGCAACTTCAGGAAGATACATTGTTTCCCAGCCAGGTGGTCTGCAGCGTTAACAGAAGTGGAGTGCAATAGAACGTGGGTGGAGGATAAAATAGGAGATTCACGGAAGATACCAACAAACATACCAAAGGACGCTCAACTTCAAGAACAATCCAGAACTGAAAAGGGGAACACGGAAATAACTCCTTAAAAGATCCACAAAAACGAAGCAGGTGCAGCCGCGGCCCTCCCCGGCCAGCAGGTGGCGGTGCAGCCAGCAATGTTGGGCAGCGGCCGGGCACAGCGGACCAGAGGGGACAGGGTCAGGCAGGGCCTGTGTGGGAAAGCGCCGGGTGCCCGGTAAGTGATGGGTCGGGGCGCTGCAGGAGGTGAGCTCCAATCTCTGGTGCAGAGCGTCCTGGGACACAGCGCGGGGCGAAGCACCTTGCGCAGGAGGATCTCTAGCATGGTGGTGATTTTGTTCTATAAATGCTGGTGTTTATCCACGAGTTCCGAGAAGATCAGCTGTTGACGGTGGCTGCCCTGGGAAGGAGCGAGGACAGAAGGCGCTGGTTTCTTATTTAAATTCTGACAGCAAACTATATACTTTGGCGTTTAAGTCAAGTGACTTCATACTGTCGCTTCTGCAGGAAGTGACCACATAGAACGGTAGTGTTGCAGCCCATCTCCTGCTGGGTAGCGAAGAGGAGTTTGGACCCCAGTGAGGAAGGCACTGCCAGCCCCACATGCCTGCCGCCCCCGCTGCCGCCACTGCCCCGCCCTCCTGCTCCGTCCCTGCCAGCTGGCCCTCATTCCCTTTTGTCTTTGGCCAGCCTTCGCCTGAGGCCGCACCCTTCCTAGAAGACCCGAGCTGGCTGGGGCCCGTAAGGCCAAGCTCACGCACTCTGGGGAGAGTGTCTTAAGCCTGGACGCCCTACCCCACCCGCACATGCACACACCCCACCCCCATGCACATGCACATATCCCGTGCATGCAATGCACGCACACACATCTCACACACCTGCACACACACGTACCCCGTGCACGCACATGCATGCGCCCATGTGCCCCCACACATGTACCCCACTCACATGCATGCACACACCTCACCCCCACGCATGCACATATGCACACGTGCCCCACGCATGCAATGCAAGCACACACATCCCACACATGTACATGCACGCACACGTATCTCACATGCACATGCCACACCCCACACACACATGTATTCCACACACAGAGATGTACCCCATGCATGCACAAGTACCCTACACATGCATATGCACACACGCACATACTCCATGCACGCACATGTACATGCACACACATACCCCCACACACATATAACCCACACATGCATGCACACGTGTACCTCACACACAGCACACATGGGCCCTTCACATGCAGATGCACGCACACGGACACACACATGCACACGCAACAAACGTACCTCATACATGTACACCTCACACACGTGCATGTGTATGCATACACACATACCGCATGCACGCACACATACATGCACATGCACACACGCGTACCTCATGTACATCGCATACATGCACACGCACGCACATGCACACACGTACCTCATACATGTACACCTCACACGTGCACGTGTATGCACACACCGCATACATGCACATGCACACACACGTACCTCATACACGTACACCTCACGTGCATGTGTGTGCACACATACCGCATGCACACGCACATACGCACACACGTACCTCATACATGTACACCTCACACACATGCACGTGTGTGCACACACATACCGCAGGCACGCACACGCACGTGCACACACGTACCTCATACATGTACACCTCACTCACATGCACGTGCATGCACACACACAGCACATGCACACGCGCGTGCGCACATACCCCGTGCACGCACACACACATACCCCCCACACACACATGCACACACCACACACATGCACGCTCTCACCTTCCCGGGTGTCAGCTGCAGAGGCCTTGCCCTCGTGAGGGCTGAGCAGGTGTGGGGCCCGGCCCTCTGGGTCTCTGTCTTCCTATGGGGTTGCCATCCCCAGTGGGATTTGTCATCCACAGGCCCGGTGACAACTGCTTGTATTCCTTCATGCCTTTCAACACAGAGATGGCTGCTTGATGTTGCTTTTTTTTTTTTTTTTAATAAGAATCTCTTTATTTTGTTAGTTCCAGTCACCCACTGACCTTTGTCACTTCCTTTCCCCTGTCTCTCTGTTGCTTCACTGGACACGGCCCCAGGGGAGTTCTCAGGTGCGTATCTCTCCCATCTGTTTGCGCCTTTGTGCCCCTCCCCCCACGGTGGCATCCAGCTGGAGTGGGGTGGCACCCTTGGGACACTCCCTGCTGCTGTCCAGTCACTGCTGGCTGTGCAGCCTGTCCCCTCCTGGTCCCTTTCCAGGCCACTCAAGGCACACGTGCTTTTGCTCACCAGCCTCCTGCTGCTCGGAAGCTTATTTTTGGCTTGCTCTACTAGCCCACTGACAATGGCCTCAACCCTGTCCTTCCAGAGGCCGACAGTCCCCCAGTGCCATTTCTTATGGTTCTCCGGAACCATCAGAAGCATAGGACAATTTGACTGGATGGGACTGCAGGCCCAGTTGTGTGGCGTCTCCCCTCTGTTGGGTGCACCCCAGAAGTCGGGAGTCCTCTTCCCACATGGCAGAGGACTCTGCTCCTGCTTTCTTGCTGTGTTCCCATCAGGAGGGCCTGAGCCCCCAGCCCACCCATGTGCACCCACCCAGTGTGCTCAAAGGCACGCCAGGTCCCCTCACTTTGCAGACCCTTGCCCCCTAACCCCCATCCCTCCTGGCCCAGGACTTGGGTGCATTGCCTTGACCCTCCACCTCACCGCCCAGGTGCTCTTGACCTGGTGGTCTCCTGTGCAGCCCCAGGATACACTTTCCAGACAGAGGAGCCTGCCCCTCCCATCCCTCTCCAGTGTGCACCCCGAACCCAGAGACAAGTAGCCCTAGCGGACTGCCCCCCTGCTGCTCACACAGGCTTAATGCGCTTGTTTTTTTTCCCTTCCCTCTCCCTGCCGCCCTGGTCGCCCGGCTCCCGTGGGACTGGGACGGCTCTCCTAGTGCGCCATGATTTCTTTGGTAAGGCCAAGGCCCCGTTTCAGTTTGTGTTTCTCCCGTTCCTGCCTTTCTCTGTGTGCCTCACACCTTCTTCGTGCTTCGTGAGCCATTTGCTTTGCTCTGCATGGTGGGGGCGGTGGTGGGGTCAGCAGGGGCCAAAGGCGCTCCTGGCTCCCGGGGTGGGGGTGGGGCTCGAGCCCCGACTCCCCAGCGTCCTCCCTCAGAGCAGATCCTTGACAGGCTGAGGGGGCGGGAATGTAGACAGCAGTCAGAACCCATGCTCAGTGCTCCACGTTCGTGGGTCTTGTCTCATGATTGCCTTAGACCAGGGACAGGTGATAGGAGGAACAGACCCTGGACTTCCGGGGCTATCTGTCCTGAGTGTCAGTATTTCGGAGTTTTTGTGACATGCCTGCAGAGAGCTTAGTCGGTGGGGTCCACTTTGGGGCTTGGTTTAGAGGAGCTGGGTGGACCCCTCTGTCCTCACTTCCGCTCCCTTTCTCCCTGCTGCTGACCCCAGTGGAGGGGCTGTCCCATGTCCTTGGCCAGGGGCTCTCTGCCGTCCTGCGCTGTTTTCTCTGTCCCCATCACCATGGTTCCAGCCACCAATCTGGGGACAGCTCTGAGAAGGGTCTGCCTCACGAAGGACTCGGAAACCACAGAGCTGGGGGAGATGCTGAGAGGGGACAGACTGAGGTGGCTGAAGAGGCCGCCAGGTCAGCTCAGGCTGGTGCCGGCTGAGCCCTGACGGTACACAGACCTCACGTGGATAGAATGCTATGGGAGGTCGTGCCCATCCAGGCAGTGCCGTCCAGAGGCTGGACTCCGTCCCTGACGGCGCTGCTGGCTGAGAGCCCACCGGAAGACCAGCAGAGGCCTCTCCCCAGGGTCCGTCTACCCAGTGTTCCCAGAGGCCAGACCTGTGGGCCTCGTCCCCCCCACATCTGCCCCCCAGGGCCAAGCCGCCCCCAGGGAGGAGGGTTGGTGCTCTGGGGCAGGTGGAGTAGCATCTGGCTTTGCTGGCCAGCACAGGTAACGTCTCTGTGTCTTCTGTTTCAGGAATGGGCAAGGAAGTGGGGAATCTGCTGCTGGAGAACTCACAGCTTCTAGAAACCAAGTAAGAACGCTCTTCTCCAGGGGTGCCTGGGGGGGCTCCATCGGTTAAGCCTCCCACTCTTGATTTCAGTTCAGGTCATGATCTCAGGGTTGTGGGATCCAGCCCCACATCAGGCTCAGCACTGGGCGTGGATTCTACTTGGGATTCTCTCTCTTCTCCTCTCCCCCCACTTCCATCTCTCTGACCAAAAAAAAAAAAAAAAAAGGAATGCTCTCCTCCAGCAGGGCCATTGCTGAGATAGCCTGCCTCCAGGGCCGGGGCCTCCCTGTAACAACCCCAGGGAGGGCCCGGACCCACATGGCCCTGCTTGCCCCTCTAGGGTCACTGCCTTTCCCTGCATTCTGCAGTGGGGGGGTCCCCTCTCAGACCTCCATAGGTGGGCAGGCCCTGTTGAGCCCCCATCACACCGCGTGCACAGCGGTTCACACAGACTTCTCTACTCTTTGCCTTCTCAAAGAAACGCTCTGAATGTGGTGAAGAATGACCTCATCGCCAAGGTGGACCAGCTGTCCGGGGAGCAGGAGGTGCTCAAAGGGGACTTGGAAGCCGCCAGGCAGGCCAAACTCAGGCTGGAGGGCCGCATCAAGGACCTGGAGGAGGAGCTGAGGAGGTGAGCCCAGGCCTGGGGCTGGGCCCCTGGGAGGAGGTGGGGCTCCTAGAAGCGGGGGCAGACCCCCTCAGACCCTCCTGTCCAGGTTCCCTCTGGAGGACACTCCCCCGTGGCTCACCTCTGTGCTCACCATGTAGCCTGCCCCTCCTCCCTCCGTTCCAGCTCACACTGGAGCCGCCCCCAGGCCCAGCTGCCCCCTCTTCTCCCCCATCCAGGCCCAGGTCCTGTCCGTCCGCCTGCCTCCTCTTCTCCCTTAGAAGGCACGGTGTCCTGTCTCTGGCAACCTTCATAGGTTCCTTCGGGAGAAGGGCGCGGAGGAACCTCAGGAAGATCTGGGGTCCCCTTCCCAGCACTTTGTACTTTGTGGTGGCCTTTCTCTTCCAGCCTGATGCTCCCCGCAGGGGTGGAAAGGGGAGGGTGGGAGGTGGGCCTGTCGGGGTGGTAGACCTGCTGGTGCTGGCCAGCTGTCTGTGCAGCTAGCCTGCCTTCCCCATCCGCTGTTCCCTGAACCCCTGCTCCTGCACTGGGGTGGCCAGGACACACGTCTGGCTTTCAGGCCGTGTGCGAGCAGGGCAGTGGGCCACTGGTCCCCCAGGGCCTGAGCCAGAATGCCCCGGGGCCTCCACCCCTGCCACAAATTCCCTCCTCGTCCTGCAGAGTGAAGTCAGAGGCCATTGTCGCCCGCCGAGAGCCCAAAGAAGAGGTGGAGGATGTAAGCAGCTATCTCTGTACAGAATTGGTATATTCCACTATTAACATGTGGGGCATGGGGGGCGGGCAGTGCGGGGTGGGTCTCGGGGCCCTCCTCACCCCTTCTGTGTCCTCCCCTCTGCCCTCTCCTGGCGGGAACCCCCACTCAGCCTTAGGGGCCCACATCCTCCCCCCAGCAGGTGCAAGCATGGTCCTGAGGACAGCCCTCTGCTCCTTGGGGGCTCGTAACTGACTGTTGCAGCGAGGCCTGAGGGCAAGGGTGTGTTGGAGCCTTTTCTCTCACCCCCGTGGACCCCCTTTTGGCCCGGGCCCAGCGACAGGGCTGCCTTCCTTCAGCAGACGGCAGGGCCCAGCTCCTAGCCCAAGGTGGCCCGTGGACACTGACCCCACCACTCATTAGCTCTGTTATTTTCGGGGGTGTCTGATGCACATATCAGGGTGCTAAGCCACATATTCCTTCGGCCCACCCTGCGCAGCCCCCACCTCTGAGTGTCCTAGGAGAGAACCAGAGGTGCAGGTGAATTGTGGAGCCAGAGGACATGTCGATTGGCACCTGGGCCTCCTTGCGTGGGGCTGGGGGCTCATGCTCACTGGCCTGGCAACCCCCTATGGTCGCTCACCCCTGTGCCAGCCTGCAGCAGCCCAGGACACAGCTACTTGGAGCAGACTGGGTCCTGCCCCAGCACTCACAGATGGCAGACCCCGCACAGACCTGCCAAAATCTCCAGCGTCCCCCTGGGACCTTGTGTCCCCCGGTCCTGCTCACTGGACCTTCCCTAGAACCTCTCTTCCTGTGGTTTCCCCCTGAGACCAGCGTCACCTGTTAGTGCTGACTGAAAGCATCTGGGGTTGCCGTGGGGTCCAGGGATTGTGAGAAAAGTCACTGTGTTATGCTCCTCAAGTACATCATGTGACCTTCTGGAAAGGTTACCCTTTCGAGGGTGGGCAGACTGCCCATATGCCCTCCCCACCACGTTTGCCTGAGGATCTGTGGGAATCCAGAGGCCAGCCTGGAGAGGAAGTGTAGTGTGAGCTGGCCTCCGAGGGCGCCGGATAGACCTGCTGGCCGGCCCCTCCCTGGCTGAACGACAGTGCCCTCCCTGCAGGACAAGATCCCCATGGCACAGCGCCGCCGCTTCACGCGGGTGGAGATGGCCCGTGTGCTCATGGAACGCAACCAGTACAAGGAGAGGCTGATGGAGCTCCAGGAGGCCGTGCGGTGGACCGAGATGATCAGGTGGGCCCCCTCCCCCTGCCTTCAGGTCTCCATTTGTGAGCCGAGATCACTGTAGGAGGCCCTAACAGTGGGAATAAGGCTGACTCCCCCCACCTCCCTCTCTCGCAGGAGGACTGGAAGGGGGCCTGGTGGGAGCCTGTGGGGGGGCCTGGCTGGTCTAGACCGGGCTGGGGCATGTTGGGGGCTGGTGTGCCGGGACCCCTCCGGGAAGCTGTGACTGACCCACCCAGGAGCACCTTCTCCCTGAGGCTGATCCCCGGTGTGCCCGTGTGGGGGGGCCTCCCCAGCACCCTGAGACGTCGCAGGCAAGGGAGGCTCAGGATTGGTCTGGGCAGAGCCTAGTGGGTGGGTGTGGTCTGGTGGCAAGTCAGCCTGGACGTGGGCTGAGCAGCCCCCTCCCACCGCCGGTCCCCTGTAGAGCGTCCCGAGAGCATCCATCTGTCCAGGAGAAGAAGAAGTCCACCATCTGGCAATTGTGAGTTGGGGGTGCCAGGATGGGGAGGGGGCAGGGAAGGCTCCCCTTTGGCTGCCCCTCACTTCCCATGCCTCTGCTGGCAGCTTCAGCCGCCTCTTCAGCTCCTCGTCCAGCCCCCCTCCGGCCAAGCGGTCCTATCCCTCGGTGAACATCCACTACAAGTCCCCCACCACGGCCGGCTTCAGCCAGCGCCGCAGCCATGCTATGTGCCCCATCTCTGCTGGCAGCCGGCCTCTGGAGTTCTTCCCCGACGAGTGAGTGTCCCGCAGGCTACCCTGCTCCTCCTGCTGGCCTGCACTGGGGTGGGGGGGTGCTGAGGGGGTCTGTGGGCCCCAGGGCCCCGCCCCTCCAGGCTCTGACGCAGGAGCGACCCCTGCCTCACCGCCTGGGGGACGCAGTCCATGGCAGGAAGGAGGCTGGCCAGCATCTGAGGCCAACCTCTCTGGCCCACACCCTGCCCCCCTCTAGCCTGACTGGGTGCACGGGATGTCCCTGGCCACTCCCCCCCAGTCCCCGCCCTGCGTCCCAGAGGGCTGCACACAGCCCCTCCGCTGACCCGGCCCCCCGCCCTTGGAGACAGCACTGCGGCCGGCAGCCAGGCCAGGCCACACCCCGGACTGTGGCCTGCACTCCTGTGCTCCACAGAGATTCCTGGGGCCCACAGGAAGCTGGCAGTGTGGGGCTGCTTCTAGGGAATAACTCTCTGTTTGGAATTTTGTGTTTTCCTTAGTTTTGATACCAAGATTTTGGCTCCAGGGCAGGAGTGGGGAATTGTGTGTTCTTGAGCCAGAAGACAGGCCCCGGGGAGGGGAGGCTGCACCGTAGGGTGCCCTCGGCGGGAGCCGGACAAGGGCAGGTGTGGGTGCGCCAGTGCAGGGAGAGCCACGGTCCTGCCACCTGGGCGCCGGGCCTGGGCGTGCTCCGTGCAGTAACCTGCGTGCCTCCCGCCCAGTGACTGCACGTCCTCCACCCGCCGGGAGCAGAAGCGCGAGCAGTACCGCCAGGTGCGCGAGCACGTGCGCAACGACGATGGGCGGCTGCAGGCCTGTGGCTGGAGCCTGCCGGCCAAGTACAAGCAGGTGCTGCAGGGGGCGCGGGGCGTGGGAGGCTGGGGGTTGCTGGGGCAGGCAGGACGGCAGCTGGGGAGCCACCTGGGCAGCCCCGCGGTGCCCCCACGGCCCCACCTGCGGAGGGCCCGGCTCTTGCTGCCCCGGGCCAGCTCTCTGCCTCAGGACTCGCGCCCACGTGGCCTCTGCCTTGTGGTTGCAGCTGAGTCCCAACGGGGGCCAGGAGGACACGCGGATGAAGAACGTGCCTGTCCCCGTGTACTGCCGCCCTCTGGTGGAGAAAGACCCAACAATGAAGGTGAGCTGGCCCCGTGGGCCCGACAGATGGGGGCGGGTGGGCTGTGGTGGGGGCCCCCTGTGGGCCGGCACAGGGGAGTAGGCTCACTGACCCCATGGCCACTCTCCCAGCTGTGGTGTGCCGCGGGCGTGAACCTGAGCGGGTGGAAACCGAACGAGGACGACTCTGGGAACGGAGTCAGGCCTGCGCCAGGCCGTGACCCTCTGACCTGCGACCGGGAAGTGGAAGGAGAGACCAAGAGCAATCACGCGTCCCCAGAGAAGAAGGTCAGAGCAGACGGCCGGGCCAGGGACCCCCATCCCGCAGCTCCCAGCACTGGAGTCATGTTGAGAGGGACAGAAACAGGACAGCTGGGGATGGTGCCACAGGACAGGGCTCATTGGAGGTCCCCGCCCCCTGTCCAGGGCGGGCGGGGGCCTGTGCTGCCTCCTGGGTGGGTGGGGACGTGCGGGGGGCCAGAGGCTCAGCAGACGGTAGGCTGGAGGAGTCAGGCCCCCACCCCAGCGGCATGGGCCCCCACCCCACCCCTCCTTGCAAGCTGTGTGCAGGAGCGTGGGTGGGGCTGAGGACAAGGGGCTGGCGGAAAACTCTTCACACACACGGGGTCCAAGGCTTCGTTCTATAGCCCAGACTGGCTTGGGGGACAGGGACCGAGGCACTGGAGCTCAGTCCTCCTCCATGGGAGTGAGGCCACGCACACCAGCGGTCTAGACGGGATGTTCTGTCTGAAAGGGAGGACAGCCGCATCCCCTGAGGCTGCGGGCAGGGCTGCACCCCGAGAGAGGTCAGGAGGCCCCCAGGACCCGTGCGGCCACTGGAGAAGCCTGCTCTCCCATGCTCTGAAACAGGCGAAAGAGCTCCCCGAGCCGGACGCCACCTCCAGCCGCGTGTGGATCCTCACCAGCACTCTGACCACCAGCAAAGTGGTCATCATCGATGCCAACCAGCCAGGCACCGTGGTGGATCAGTTCACCGTCTGCAATGCCCACGTCCTGTGCATCTCCAGCATTCCAGGTGAGGGCCGGCAGCACGGGCTCTGCGCCGCTCTGCAGACAGCTGGGATGGTAGGCCTGCTGAGCCACACCAGCTTTGCTTGGGACATGCTGTGGATGCACGGAAGCCCGTGGGGGCATCCAGAGGGGAGCAAACTGACAGTCTTGCCCCTTAGTCCTGTGAACAACCAGAAGACCCCAAGGTGATGCTCACTTGCCTGCCTGGAAGGAGGTGGGCCACAGGACAGATTGAAATATCAGTCAAGCACTGAGCACGGACCTGCGGTGGGCCCAGTTCCCGCTACCCAGCTGCAGCGGGGAGAACGGGGGCCGGCGGAGGCTTGGCTTTGCCTCTCAGCAGTATTCCTCATGCCAGTATTTGGGGGTGGCCAGGGCCCTGCCGGGGGCAATTTTCCAAGATGGCCCAAGCTGCTCAGAGTTCTTAACTTTCTGACACGTGATCAGAGTTGTTTGCTCCCAGAGACCAGAGTCTCACTCCTCCATGCCTCTTGATGGCTCTCCAGGCCTGCAGGCCGTGGTTGTGAGCAGATGCCCACATGCTGAGGCCAAGCTGGCCTGAAAGCCTGGGGCCCACTGTGCTCTCTGCATCAGCAGGCGGCTCCCACCTCCTTCCCCAGCACCCCCATCGGGACATGAGATCTGGGTGTGGTCTGGTAGAAGGGGCTCCTCGGCATGGGGTGATGGGGCTGTGACTCTCCCCCCAGCGGCCAGTGACAGTGACTACCCTCCGGGGGAGATCTTCCTGGACAGCGATGTGAACCCTGAGGATTCCGGTGCCGACGGTGTGCTGGCAGGCATCACCCTGGTGGGCTGTGCCACCCGTTGCAACGTGCCCCGCAGCAACTGCTCCTCCCGAGGGGATACCCCAGTGCTGGACAAGGGCCAGGGTGAGCTGGGCCTGCGCTTGGGCGGCCACCTTCCCTAAACCCCTTTGTTCCTCCCCACCACCCGGCCAAGCCCACCCTTCCCTTCTGCAGGGGAGGTGGCTACTGTCGCCAACGGGAAGGTCAACCCATCTCAGTCCACGGAGGAGGCCACAGAAGCCACGGAGGTGCCAGACTCTGGGCCCAGCGAGGCAGAAGCAGCCGCAGTGCGGCCTGGGCCCCTCACGGAGCATGTCTTCACCGACCTGGCCCCTGCCCCGGCCCCCAGTGCCCAGCCTGGCAGGTGGGCTCTCTCAGGACGGGGCAGATGGAGGGGAGGGGAGACTGGCCGAGGTGGGCGGGGACAGGCTCCCACGGGCCACCCTGGAGCAATCATCCTTCTTGCAGTGAGAACGGGCCGGAGGCCGACACGGGTGGGGTGCAGCCCGAGCCAGAGCCCAGCACAGACCCTGCAGGGACCAGCAATAGCGCTGCCCCCACCATGTGGCTGGGAGCCCAGAACGGCTGGTAGGTGGGGCCCCGGGTCAGGGGTTGGGGAGGGTCTCCTGGGCGAGCACCCCTGCCCACCATGGCCTCCTCCCACAGGCTCTATGTGCACTCAGCCGTGGCCAACTGGAAGAAGTGTCTGCACTCCATCAAGCTAAAGGACTCTGTGCTGAGCCTGGTGTACGTGACCCCAGCTGAGGGTGGGGCGTCGGGAGGGAGGGGCCGGCCACCAGCCTAAGCCCGCTCGCTCACCACCATCCCATTCCAGGCACGTGAAAGGGCGAGTGCTTGTGGCCCTGGCCGACGGGACTCTGGCCATCTTCCACCGAGGTGAAGGTGAGGTCCAGGGGCTCTGGGCAGGTGAGCGGCCACCCCCACTGAGGGCAGAGGTGGGCCCTGGGCAGGCCTGAGCAGGTGTCTGGGGCTCTCTGCAGATGGCCAGTGGGACCTGAGCAACTATCACCTGATGGACCTGGGCCACCCCCACCACTCCATCCGCTGCATGGCCGTCGTCTGCGACCGCGTCTGGTGTGGCTACAAAAACAAGGTGCACGTCATCCAGCCCAAGACGATGCAGATTGAGGTGAGTGCTGGTAGCAGGAGGGCCTCGTGGGAAGGCAAGTGGCTCCTGCTGGTGGACGGCGCTCCCACCGTGCCTTCTAATGGGCCCTGGGGGCGTTGTGTGGTCAAGGGAGGTGACTGCATCACAGCTGGCAAAGGGCAGCTGGGCTGTGAGCACCAGTCCGTCTGGGTTGTACCTGCTGCTTTACTCGGCAGCAAGTCAGGCCAAGACCCGCAGGGGCCCCACACGCCTCCCCAGGACGGGGTCGTGACTACAGCTCCTCGCAGGAGCCTGCACCCTAAGGGGCAAAGCAGGTACTAGACTGAAGGCTGCAGGGAACTGCATGGGCGTCTCCGTGACCAGTGGCCATGGCGGGTTCAGAGCCCCCACCCCCGCTGATGCGCTGCCACGACCCCACAGAAGTCATTCGACGCCCACCCACGGCGGGAGAGCCAAGTGCGGCAGCTGGCGTGGATCGGTGATGGGGTGTGGGTGTCCATCCGCTTGGATTCCACATTGCGGCTCTACCATGCCCATACCCACCAGCACCTGCAGGACGTGGACATCGAGCCCTATGTCAGCAAGATGCTGGGTGAGGGGCTGCGCCGGGCTCGGGCGTCAGGGCAGGGAGGGCCCCCCGCACCAGCCGTGCCGACTGCCTCGCCCTCCTCACCCCAGGCACAGGCAAGCTGGGCTTCTCCTTCGTGCGGATCACAGCCCTGCTCATCGCGGGCAACCGCCTCTGGGTGGGCACCGGCAATGGAGTGGTCATCTCTATCCCGCTGACCGAGAGTGAGTGACCCCCCCGCCCCGACATCTGCACAGGTGGTGGTGACTGCTGCTGAAGGACAAGAGTCAGGTGGGGTGGGGGGGGCACGATTGGCCAGGCCTTGCTCCGGGGGACGGGGATGCTGCCCGCCCTTCCCGTGACATGTCTCCTCTCCCTTCCATGCTGCGCCCCTCACTTCCCCAGCCGTGGTCCTGCACCGAGGCCAGCTCCTGGGGCTCCGAGGTGAGTCCAGAGCACATGCCTCCTGCCCTCACAAGGAGGCCCCCACCTGAGATGCCCTGTGGCTAAGGCTGGCCTTGCCCCTTGGCGGAGGGCGCTCTCCCGCGCACCGCCCTTGCCTGCTGGAAAGCTGGTCTCCTACTCAGGCTCAGGCCCTGCGGCCCTTCTCTCTCTCCAGCAAACAAAACCTCCCCCACGTCTGGGGAGGGAGCCCGCCCTGGGGGCGTCATCCACGTGTACGGTGATGACAGCAGTGACAAATCGGCCAGCAGCTTCATCCCCTACTGCTCCATGGCCCAGGCCCAGCTCTGCTTCCACGGGCACCGTGATGCCGTCAAATTCTTTGTGTCGGTGCCAGGTGAGGGGCTGGGCCCCATCCGTGCTGGGCTGCCGCGTGGCCTCCCTCCGCGAGCCTGTGGGGGGGGCACTGGCCGCCCGGCTGAGCTCCCTGTGTCCTGACAACAGGGAATGTGTTGGCCACTCTCAACGGCAGTGTGCTCGACAGCCCCTCTGAGAGCCCCGGGCCCGCCGCCCCTGCCTCAGACGCCGAGGGCCAGAAGCTGAAGAACGTTCTGGTGCTGAGCGGCGGGGAGGGCTACATCGACTTCCGCATCGGTGAGTTGGCGCTGCCCGGGGTCCCGGGATCCCCAGCAGGGCCATCCCATCACCGCACCTCTTTGTCCAGGGGACGGAGAGGATGATGACACCGAGGAGAACACTGGGGACATGAGCCAGGTGAAGCCCCTGCTGTCCAAGGCAGAGCGCAGCCACATCATCGTGTGGCAGGTGTCCTACAGCCCTGAGTGAGGCTCCGGCCTCCCCCGCCCCGCCTGCCCGACGCCGACGTGTACATACAGCCCCACCCGCCTGCCTGCTGCCCGCCCTGCAGGCAGCCCGGCGCCCGCCCCTCTTATAACCTCTCAACCTGCAGCTTTCACCTTAGGGCCGGGCCTCCGCAAAGGCGGGCAGCAACGCGGGTCTGGCTGGGAGGGAGGGACCCTCACCAGGAGGGGAAGAACCTCTCAGGACACGTGCCCCAGCAGCTTCTGGCTTGCCCCCGATCCCAAGTTCTCCCATCTGGGGGGCATTTTGGGGCCAGAGCAAGGCAGGAGGTAGGTCGGGCTGGGAGAAGGCCCTGCAGGTGGCTCCCAGCTCCACCCTGGGCCCCCCACTTCCCTCACTCCCAGGACCCCCCCAGGGCAGGTAGTAGGGACTTCAGCCCGCCAAGTCTTCCCAGCCGGAGCCTACTTGCCTTTGCCTGCTGCCTGAAGGGGTGGGCCTGACCCTAAGGGAGCCGGCCTGGCCACTGGCCTTCCCTAGGCCCCCTGCACCCACACCCTGATGCCTGCCCCGGGAATTGGCATGGAAGCACGTAGCCAGGCTGCCTAAGGCAGCTGCTTGAGAAGCCAGATGCCCTCTGCTGCTCACCCCGTTGTAGCCAGCTCTCCCCAGCTCTCCCTGGGCAGAAGACCCACCTGGTAGGAGCAGGCTCTGGAGTCCTCCCCCTCCCAGAATCCCCTTGGGTGGAATTTCTCAGGCTGCCAAGGCAGGCCCAGGCCTCAGGAAGAAGGGGAGGCCCCTGGTCTCTCCTGGGGTCAGTCCTAGGACACAGGCTCAGCCTCGGTGACAGGGGGACACGTGGTCCGGGGCCTGCCTCCCGCACAGTCTCCAAGGAGCCCCGTTCCCAAGACACACTATGAAGTGCCTAGGGCTGGCAGCATGGCCTGCTCCCCTGAGGGCAACTGAAGATGAGCCTGCGAGGGCTCGTGGCAGAAGGTGCCTCCGGCCGGCTTTAAACATGGATGCCTGCCGGCTTTGAGGGGTCCCGCCCTGGACTGCCACCTCCCTGACCTGCCCAGGTCCAGGCCTTACTCCTGCTCCAGAGGCCCTGCTGCCCACCCACCTCCCACCAGAGAAGCACAGACCTTGGGCAGCCACCCCACGAGCCCAGCCGGCCACCGTCACGTGCAGCTGCAGGCTTCTCCCCACCACCCTGCCACTCTCCACTGTGATGTACGTCCAGTCTCTTCTGTTCCCACGGGGCCGTGAAGTGACTCGGGGGCTAGCTGGGTGGGTGCAGCTGGGGGAAGGGGCTGGGTGGTGATTCTCCTCAGGCTTTGGCCCTGCAAGCGAACCCACGTATTTGCTCTGTATGTAATAAATGTCTTAACATCGTAGCCCTGTGTCCCTGGGCCCAGACCAGCGGGAGCGTTAAGGATTTGCTTCACTTTATTGTCTCAAGAAATGCTGGCCCACGCTGCGGGCCAGGACGGGCCGCAAACTGGAGGGGCTCGCGGGGCCGGGCGTCTACTCGTACAGCCAGTGCCCGGCGCTGTCCTCCCAGCACAGCAGCTCGTCGCCGCGAAACCAGAGCGCGATCTCGCGGCGGGCGCTCTCCACCGAGTCGCTGCCGTGGATCACGTTCCTGCGGGAGAGCCGCATGAGCGCCGGCGGCCGCTGGGGCGTGGCAGGGGCTGGGCGCGCGCTCTGGCCGCCTTACTTGCCAACCTCGACGCAGAAGTCCCCGCGGATGGTGCCAGGCGCGGCGTCGGCCGGGTCGGTGGCCCCGATGAGCGCCCGCGAGGCGCGCACCACGTCCAGCCCCTGCCACACCTAAGCGCGGGCCGGCGGGACTCAGTGCACCGGCTTTCCGTCGGTCCCGCCCGCCCGCCCGCCCGCGGCCAGCACTAACCATGGCCACCACCGGTCCCGAGCCCATGTAGTCCACCAGCCGGCCATAGAAGGGGCGCTCGCGCAGCTCGGCGTAGTGCTCGCGCAGCAGCTGGTCCGAGGCCTAAGGCGGACGGGGGTGGGGACGGGCCGCGCGCGCCGGGGTCCCCGCCCGCCGCCACCCGCGCCCCGCCGCCCCCCGCCCCCGCGCGCCCTCACCTGCACCAGTTTCAGCGCCACCAGCTTGAAGCCCTTGCGCTCAAAGCGCCGCACGATCTCGCCCACGAGCCGCCGCTGCACGCCGTCGGGTTTCACGGCCAGGAAGGTGCGCTCGTGCACGCCGGCGCAGGCTGCGGGGGCCCGCGAGGTCGGGGCGCGTCAGGCCCGGCCGCTCCCGCTCCCCCCACCCCCACCCCGGCCCGCGCCGCTCACCCGCCGGGAAGAGGTGGGCGAGCACCGTCAGCAGCAGGCACAGCATGATGGCGATGGCGGCGGCGGCGGCGGGCGTGGCCTGCGTTTAAAGGGGCCGGGCGGCAGCTGCCCAGGTATCCCCATCCCTCGGGCACCGCCGGGCCGGGCGCCCCACAACACGGTCGTCTTGTCCTCCCCAGCCCTGCCCACAACCTGCTGTGGCTGCCCAACCCGAAACTCAAAGAAAGCACAACCCAGGGCACTGGTTCTGCCTTTATTCGCGCGCAAACGGTTCTCGGCTGAGTCCGGCAGGGGCCGCACGTAGCGGGGGAAGCTACCAGCGCGGGCGCTGGGGCTCCGCGCTGCAGCCCCGCCTACCCCCGCTTCCCCCCCCGCGGCCCTCTCGCCCAGAGCAAAGGCGCGAGGGGCAGGGTCTGGCTCCACGCTCCCGGGGGGGGCTGTCCCAGCTGCAGCCCAAAGGCGTCTTCATTCACAAACCGGGGCCCAGGGCCTGACACCTGTCCCGCGGCCATCCAGTGCTGGCACTTAGACCCGCGTGGCCTTGGCCTTTTTCTTCGCCTCCTGTCTCGCAGGGTAGTCCCAGGGATCCACTCGGGTCCGCTCCAGATTCAGCATGGGCTCCTCGGTGCTGGAGTCCCCCTTTTTCTGCCGCTCTGCTAGAATCATGGCCCGGAGGAGCGGCGGGTAGGGCACGCAGCGCGGAGCGTCCTCGGGCGGCGCGGGCGTGAACGCGGTGAAGGCCGCCTCCTCGTGCTTGGGCACCAGCCGCCAGTCGTGGTACATGACCTGCCCGATCTCCCGGGCCTCGCTCTCCGTCCGTCCTGGAAAGAAGGCCGGGGCTGAGCGCACATGCATTCGCGGGGCAGGCCGTGACCGGCAGCCGGGGGCCCCCGCCCCGTCCCCAGCGCCTCACCTTTGAAGGTCAGCACGCCCCAGGCCTTCCCGTGCTCTAGGTTCTGCAAAGCAAGCGTACAGAGCATCGGCTTGGAGCGCGCGCTCGCCCCCTCCCCGAGGCCGGGGCGCCGGGGAACCCACGCGCACGCACCTGCGCCGTGTAGTCGGGCCGCACGCGCGTCAGGCGCCAGTAGCACGGCTCGTCGTGCTGCCACAGCCAGGACTTGCGCGTGACCAGGCGGCCCAGGCCGAAGAGCGGCAGGCGGCTGAGCAGCTGCAGGAGGCTGCTCTCCCGGCGCACATCCGCCCAGGCGCGGACCGGCAGGCGGCGGCCCGAGTACGGCCGCGTCAGCGTCTCGTAGTCCAGGGCGTAGCGCTGCGAGTCGCGCGGTCGGTTCCGCTGCTCTCGCAGGGCCCGCACGCGACGGGCCAGCTCGGCGATGAGCCGCGGCCGCACCTTCTTCCGCGCCATGGTCTGAGCCCTGCTCGTCCGTGCACCGACCGGAAGCCGCGCCGCCGCCGCCGGAAGCGGCCAGTGTCCCGCCGAAAGGCGTCCGGGTGCGGCCGGAAGCCGAGTGGAGGCCGGGCCGGCGATGGCGCGGGAGGGCTCCGGGAGGGCGGGGTACTTGGGCCGGGCGGGGGCCCGGGGCGGGGGGCGGCGGCGGCCCCCGACCTGGGAGGTCTCGGACTCGGACGGCGAGGGCCCCGCCGGCGCGGAGGCCGGCGCGACGGCCCGCGGGCCGGTGAAGGAACGCAGCGCGGCGGCGGAGGAGCGCAGGGCGGCGGCGGAGGAGCGCAGGGCGGCGGCCGAGGCGCTGCGGCCCGAGCAGGCCCTGCGGCGCGTGGCGGTGCGGGTGGACGCAGGTGCGGGGGGCGCCCCGGAATTGGGTCGGTTTCCCAGCCGGGCAGGCGCGTGGTTTGGAGCCGGCCGGGCCCAGGCCAGGGGTCCGCTCTCCGCAGCCGGGCACTGACGACAGCCATGTCCCTACGGCCCATTGCAGCTCTTCTGGAAGATACTGGTGCCGACATCCTGCTGGAGGCCCTGCGCGCCCTGGGCTGTGAGTACCACATCGAACCCCAGCGGCCGGCCCGGAGTCTCAGGTGGACCAGAGCGAAGCCGGATCCTTGTCCCCGCACTGTGAGTGTATTGGGGCTACAGAGTGCACCCCTGGCCTGTTTGCTTCCCGTAACTTCATGTAAGTCTGTGGGTTTTGCAGACCAGTAAGCTAGAAGCAGGAACGCTGAGGGGGTATCAGTGAGTAGCAGGGTTGGCGTCAGTGGACCTAAACTGACCTTGGACTTGCCCGGGGATGGGAAGTGGGTCATTTATAGAACAGTCCCCGTGGGGCTTGGGCTTGGCTGTGGCCACGAGCCTCAGAGCCACTGGGGTGCCCAAGGCAGGGCCCTGGGGCATGTGAGGGGGTGGGTGGGCAGCAGTGTCTCTGGATGTCCCCACAGGTGCCTTCGGAGGTGTGGGCTGCAGATGAACAGGACCTCCTTCTGCTCCTGGAGCCCGAGGAGTTTCTACAGGGCGTCCAGCAACTGACCCAGGTGCCGGGGAGTTGGGGGAGGGGGGCGGACGGGAGGCAGTAGTCCTCCACACATCACTAGGGGCTGGGCTCCTCAGCCGGGGGGAGCTGCTCTGCCAGTCCCCGTTCCCTGCCCCAGGGAGAGGGGCCAGACACGGTGTGTGCAGCAGCCTGGGGCTGTGGGTGAGATGGGGAAGCCAGGTGGGTTCTTGGCCGGGGAGCAGATGGGGGCTGCCTCTGGAGAGTAAAAGTTAGGTTAAGGAAGGTTCTCTGGAGAGCTGCGTGATAAGGCAAAGGCGTAAGGTTAGACCCTGTTTGGTTTTGGTGTTTGTGGTTTGGTGTTTCTCAAGGAAATGTCGCATGCTACACAAATGGTGGGCTGGGTTGCAGAGATAGAATTGGTGGCTGGGGGCTCAGTGCCACTCCTCCAGGTGCCTGGGAGGTGTTGGGGGCTTTCAAAGGTCCCTGGGCCTTGTGGGAGGCACACAGCTGGTTTCCAACAGGAGCTGACTGGGCAAAGGAAACCAATGTCCTTCTCTCCCCACTGAGTCTCTCTCAGGCCTTCTTTTTTTGTCTGCAAACACAGTGGCTGGGTCACCAGTGGGCCCTGCTTGCTACAGCCGCAGAAATAGGTGTGTTAAACTTTGGTTTGCAGACTCGTGGCCCATCTTGCTCTGTGCCCTGGATCTGTCCTGAGAGCTCCACCAGCCCCCGCCTGGCTGTCATCGGGCTGGATGCCTACTTGTGGTACCAGTCACTCTCATGCCCTTACTAGGCCTGGCTAGGTTACGGGAGTTCAGGGGAAAGGTAGTGGTGGCCCGGGGCTTGCTGGGACACAACGAACTCCCTTTCTTGGGGGCTCAGGGGTAATGACGGGGTGTGGAGAGCCAGAGAGATGGGCATCTCTGCTCAGGTCTCACCAGCCCAGCAGCCAGGAGATGCGACGGCCAGAGAGTCCAGCGGTGGACCATGCCACAGTGGCACTCAGCTGGCCCAAGGTGGAGGAGGTGAGGGCCCATCAGGTGGGGTGAGGTGCTCGCCCTTGGTCCTGGCACTTGGGCTGTTCTCCAAGGCCCCGCAGTCCCGGTTTTGGTCCCAGAGCAGCACGTGGGGTTGGGTGCAGCCGGGTGTCCCCTGGGGGTGACCTTGACTGACCCACACTGTGGGCTCATCTCCTCAGGCCCTGGTACTCCTGCAGCTCTGGGCACATCTGGATGTACTGCTGGTGGCCTCCTGGCAGGAGCTGAGTCAGCATGTGTGTGCCTTCACCAAAGCCCTCGCTCAACGCCCCTTCAGGTGCATGACCCCCACCCTGACTGGTGGCTGTGGCTGGGGGAGGGGACAGGGACACCTGGAGGAGCGGGATCTCTCTGGTCTCTTTGGGAGCAGAGCGGGCCAAGGGCTTTGTGGGGCTGGGAGGATGGGATGCTCTGCAGACATGAAGCCTGTGGAAGCGTCCCTGCATTATTCCCCATCTACAGGCGGTACCGGGAGTCCTGTGCCTTTTCCTTCTGTGTGGCTGGGCGCTGGGCAGCCAGCGAGCGCGTGGCAAGCAGTGGCAGAGGGTTGCGGGGCATCTGGTGGCGGCAGATCAGACAGTTCCACCGGGTCAGCCCGGCTGTGGCCGATGCCATTGTCACCGCCTTCCCCTCCCCCCGCCTTCTGCAGCAGGTGGGTCCCCTGGTACCCCCTCTGGTGTGGAGCCAGGGCCCCTAGAGCTGCCCTGCTTACCCCCATGCTTGCCCTAGGCATACACGAGCTGCAGCACGGAGCAGGAACGCCTGGCCCTCCTGGCAGACCTCCCCGTGAAGATGGGCGAGGGCGTGCGGCCCCGCAGGGTGGGGCCTGACCTTTCCCGCCGCATCTGCCTCTTCCTGACAACCACCAACCCTGAGCTCCTGCTGGACCTGGGCTCCTGACCACACCTGGGGGACAGGACGGGACATGGTCCACCCCATGCAAGGGCTGAACTGCCAACTACCCGGGGGATGGGGGAACAGGGCGCTGCTCCTGGGGTGCATGGGAGGGCACGGGGTGGCCAGAACATTCTCGGGTAACTGGGATGAGCAGGAGAGGAGGTGAGCTTCCCCTGCCCTGGGTCCTGGATACACCGACCGCGGAGCCGGGGCCCAGTTGGGGGGTCAGGAAGGGGGCACACACACCAATCGTGGGGAGACTTGGGAGTGGCACCTTCTAAGAAACAATAAGACAAAATCTCGAGGGAGGAAAGCACACTGGGTGGTCTCTCCTGGAGGGTGTTGTGATGCAGCCGGGCCCAAGGGGAGGAGAGCAGCGGGCCTCAGCTGGACTCCATCCTGTCACCACGGAGGCGTCACATAAAGTCTAAGTTTATTACGGTCGTTTCGGTCTGGGACGGGAGGAACAGCAGCTGATGACATGCAAAAAGCAAGTGAAGGAAACCACAAGGCCGCACAACCGCGCCGCCTCTAACCATATCCTCTTGGGCGCCGACTCGCAGCCGGTCCAGAAGAGCCGGGCCGGCCGCTTCCTTGCGGTGCAGGGAGCAGATGCTCTGGGGGCCTGGGGACCTGTCCCAGCGAAGTCAGCCCTCTGCGTGAGTCATGCCCCTAGAGCCCGGTCCAAAGGGAGGGACGGAGAAGGCGGCCCCTTGGCCCCAGGAAGGCAGTTTTCACAGGAAACGAGTCAGGTCCGCCGGCAGCGCTTCCTCTGGCAGTGCCGGGTCTCGGGGCCACCGGCCGTGGCCTTGGGGGAGGGTGCAGGTGGCTTGCGGCGGCCGCAGCTCATGCTCAGGACCCAGCCCAGCTTGTGGTGCAGCAGCTGCTTGAGGCCAGGTGGCAGGGGCAGCCCCTCCAGCGTGTCCCCGGAGTCGGGCCGCAGCTGGCGCAGCCGGTAACAGCACAGGTACTGCAGGGAGGTGACGCTGGCGCACGAGCGGATCACCTTCATGCTGCTCTTGGCCGCCGTGGAGCACACCATTGGGTAGAACTTCCTGTTCTGCAGCTTGGTGGCCGCCACACCTGGACGGGGAGCGCAGCCTGAGCCCCAGGCTGAGCAGGGGCAGCGCCTGTTCCCACCACCCCTCAGGCTGCCCCCCCCCGCCCCCCGCCACCCCCTGGGCTGCCCCACCCTCTGGGAACCCCGGGGCCTCAGGTTCCTGGGAGGACCGGCTTTCAGGAAGCCTGGGGCCACAGTTCCACACTCTGTAGGCATGGGTCAAGGTCATGGCTGCCCTCACCTATGCACTTCCTGTTCTTAAAGAAGGTGAGCGTCCCGTGCCAGGTGTCCAGGTGCACGCCGATGATGGAGCCCTGGCCGAACCTCGACGAGAAGCTCATCTTGTCGCCCTTGTGATGGAGAAGCCCTGGGGGACAGTGGGATGGGGTAACCCTGCTGCCTCAGGGTCGTCGCCCCCCCCCCCCGCCCTGCCTGCCCTTGGGGCCCCGCGCACCGGTGTAGGAGAGACCCCAGCTGTCCTCATCTCTCCCAAGCAGACTGCAGAACGTGTGGTGGTACTTGTCCAGGTCCACATCTGACGTCCCGATGCCCACCATCTGGGAAGAACGGGGCAGGCAGAGCGCGTCTGGGCACCTGGGGTCACACCTGCCCCCCCCCCCCCCCCCCCCCCCCCCCCCCCCCAGTGCTAGCCACTGACCATATCGGTGCCGTAGACCGGCGAGGTCATCTTGATCTCCCAGAAGTGCTGGCCCTCCCCCAGCTCCTTGGTGCCCCTGATGGCTGCCGTGCCGCAGCTGTACTCCATGTGAAAGTTGACCTTTCGGTTGTCGCAGCTCAGCAGGGTGGCCGAGGATTTATTCAGGTCATCCCACACCCAGTCAAAATCTGCAGGAGCCAGGGGCGGGGGAGGCTGGGGTTGGAGGGCCTGCGGGGCCAGGCTCACCCCTCCCCCCGGCCCCGGGCTCCCTCCCCCCCCACCCACCCCCGGGTCCTCACGCTCGTCCTCCTCCCCGCAGCGGCAGTCCTTGTCCTTGCTGCGGCGCGCCGAGTGCAGGCTGCTGCAGAAGGGGGCCTCACTCTGGCCGTCACAGTCACAGAAGGACTCCCCAGTCACAGGCACAGCGCTAGGGATGGGCGGCGGCAGGGCAGAGGACTCGGGGTCGGAGTCGGAGTCACTGTGCTGGGAGAGAAGAACTGGCTGCTCCCGCCCGGTCCGCCCTCCACCCTCCGCCCTCCATCCTAAGATCCACCGCGTGCGGGGGTCAACCACACCCATGCCCCAAGCAAGCACCTGCAGATTTGGCTTCAAAGGGCTTCCCTGGGTCTCATGAGCAGTTAGCCCCCACCCTTGCCCAGAGCCACCGCCAGTGACCCCGGACACCACCTCTGGCCTCCTGGGAATGAACTGAAGGACTCCACCCTACCTCCACACATCCCTGGGGATACTGGGTGCCCTACTGACAACCAGCCAGGTGGAGCTGCCGGATCCCCAGTTTCTCCTCTGGGCCACCTGAAGCAAGGGAGCCGCAGGACAGAGTCTGCTGCTGACCTAACGAAAGCAGCCTGGCTCTCCCCCACAGGGAGCATGTGGGCTCCAGGGGGTCCCCTCACTGTGGCAGAGCCCCTGCGCCTGTCCTGGGCTATGGCCCTCTGCTCATCCATGGAATGAATGGCTCTTAACCCACAGCACAGGGCCCTGGAGCCCGGTGCTCCCATGTCCATGCATGAAGTTTCTACCACAAGACGTGCAGAGGGGCCTAATCCTCAAGGCACGTGTGCCATGTCTCGGGGGCCTGACCATGGCCCAGAGCCAGATCCTTCCTGAATACCAGCCAGGGCTGCTGATGCTACAGATGTTCTTTGTGCATGGAGCTGTTCCTCTTCTGATAGGCCCCTCTGGACACAGACCCTGGGCCAACCTATAAGGGGCTGGGGTCTCACTGACCAGTCCCAGAGTGCAGGCAGGCTCTAGGTGTTTCTCTGGCAGCCCGGCAGGCTGGGGTCCTGGTCAGGCTCCACCCTCCACCCCCTGCTCTCCTGAAATGCCATCTGCACAGCAGGCCAGGTACCCCCTGCTCAGACCCGGGGCAGGGCCTGGCCCACCTCAGCATTCTGCTGCCCTGAGTGTAAGGCCCACACCCCCTATTGGGGCCTGCCCCCCCCAACTCCAGTTGGGTCCAGTTGTCTCGTCTTTGCCTCTAGAGAAGAGGCTCTTACAGCCCCTCCCCTCCTGTCCCGTGCTCTTATTGTGATCTGCTTTCTCCCACTAGAACAGAAACTGAAAAAAACCTACTCGTTGTGTGTCTCCTGTCACACCCAGGGCTATGGAGCGGCCACACAAGCTACACAGCGGAAACTGCGCTAAGGAGCTCAGAAGCCTCAGAGACAGATGCCAACAGGAGACGGGAAGAAGCCTCAAAGCACCCCACCTGCATGGAATGCTGATCCCCCAAAAGCCAAGGCAGACCCACTGCTAGTGAGAGGCGACCCCCTTCCCACTGTCAAGTGCCAGGGTCACAGACCTGAGCACCGGGGCTCAATGTGGCCAACCCCTGCGCAGCAGCCCGCCCCCAACCACAGGAAAAGCATCAGAGCCAAAGGGAAGGGAGGTGTGTGTTCAGCCTCCAGACGTGCTCAGGGTGACACGCCCACCCACACCGCCAAGGACTCCAGGCCCATCAGGTGACAGACAAGCTTCAAATGTGTGTCACGTGCTATGCCCTGGTCCCTCAACACCTCCTGCATCTTATAGCGATGAGCTGGCCAGGCAGAGAGAGGCGGGAGAACAGATTGCTCAGGTCACGTGGTCAGGGGGAGCTGGAGGCGGGACTGGAATGCATGCCGAGGCCTCTTGCTGGCCTGGGCAGGGAGTCTGTGGAGGCCCTAGGAAGGGGCACAAGACACTACCAACGCCTCCCATTCTCCCCCCCACCGCCCCGGTCTCGCAGTTTCCACGGGGCTCAGCCACCCTCACTCTAAAGACACCCAGCTGGGCCAGGGCAATAACACGGGGTGGCTGTGACGTGGCAGAGCCCAGTCACCCAAGGATCACCCCTGCAGGAAACAACTGGGGTGACTCAGAGCAGAACTGAACTCCTACCCTGGTCTGAGAGCCCTGAGAAGCCATCCACAGTGCCTACCCCCAGCAAATGGGACACAGGCCGCGCAGCCCTGCTGCCCCGTCCGCCATGGCAGGGGTTGGGACAGCGAGGCGCTCAGGGCCAGTAGGCAACCTGCACTGCACATGGACAACCCAGCCGCTCCTCTGACTGCTCCCGGGCTCCCCAGCCTCCCAGAGCTCTGCAGCTGCCGAGTGTGGGAAGGCGCAGGCGTTTTGGGCTCTAAAAATTGTAAGTTCTCTTTCTACATACGTAGACACAAACATCAAGCGTATGACTGTACGAGTGGAGAAAACATCCAGGAACACACACGTCAAGCTACTTTTGGACACTGGACGGATAAACGGAATAGAGTTTTTGTTGAACTGACCAAAAACGCAACTGCTGTGCCCAAAAGACAAGAGAATAGAGAAGGTGGGATCTGCCCTGGGGTCCTGTCACCCCAGGACCATGTGGGTCCTTAACCCGGGGAAAGGAGGGCCCACCTGGCCCGTCCTCAGCCCTTGGGGGCATCTTTCTCTTTCAGTCCTGGCTCAGGCACTGCCCACCCTGGGCGCCTCTACCCCTTAGACCAGCCACGCCCACCTCCCCCACTAGGACCTACCTGCCCATCAGAGTCATAGCCCCAGTTAGTGGTCCCTGCCAGAGCCACAGCCCTGGCATCCGCGTCTCGGTGGGCCGCACTCAGGACAAAATGCCAAGCTCTGCTGCTGCGAGGGCGCCGGGCCATGATGGACAGGATCTGGAAGAAAACCCAGGTTCTGAGCACAGAAGACAGGAGACAGAAACTCCTGTGCTCCAACCCGGGCCGGCTGCGCCAGCCCCGTCCAAAGAGGGGGGCTCTCCGGAGCCATGCAGATGCCGAGCAAGGGCACTGGAACTCTTCTCGACCTCGGACCTGCCTCCAGTATACAAGCACCTTGATGAACGCAAGGCAGAGAGTGCAGAACACCGTCCAGATGCCCATGACTCTCCAGTGCATATCTCAGCCCCTGTCGGAGCTCAGCCTGATGAACCCAGCTGTCGCTCAGGCATCTCAAACCTTGTCTGGCTCCTCCTCTGTTGTCCAGTTTGACAAATGGCATCTCCAACCTCCCAGTTCCTCATGCCAGACCCATGGCAGTCACCCTGGACACCCCTTTCCTCCCTCGGGCACTGGCCTAACGGCCCGACACACCCAGCACCACCGCCAAACCATGTCCTGAACCCCTCTCTCCATCCTCGCCGCCACCGCGACTTCCAGCCACAACACACCTTCACTCTGGCTCTATCCGCTTCACTCATTCACTCAGTCAAAAAGATGACTTTTTGGAAACACAAATCTTAAAAATTCAAGCAAGTTTCAACCAATCTTGAAACTCCTCGGCCTTGCATTACCAAAACAACATGCAACATCCCGCAAAACCTATCAGGTTTTTTTGTGCGTCCCCACGCCGCAAGGGCCTGGGTCCAGGTGCGAGCCCTTTCCTGCCCTTTGCCCAGAATGCCTTTCCTTTCCTGCATTCTCCCAGTAACACAACGCCTTCTAGGGCTGTCTCCTGGACCCAGACTCGGCCCCGGGAGGCCGGGGGCTGCCCCGCTGTCCGGACGCCCGCCGCGCACGAGTGCTCCCCATGGCGCCGCCCCCGCCCGCCCGGCGCAGGTGGCGGCCCCGCAGCAGCGCACAGCAGGCGGCGCGCTCCGGGACCAGGCCCGCGCGGATCTCCGCCTCCGCGCTGTGGCGGGGATTGCGGCGGGGCCGCCCGCCGAGCCCCGGGGCCCCCCCGGCGCCACCGCCCGCAGGAACAAAGGCGCGCCGGAGATCCCCGCCACCAGCGGTCCCGCCAGGCCAGCGGGCGCGGCGGCCATGCGCGGCGGCGCCGAGGGGACCCCGGGGGCCGCGGGAGGCGCGGACGCCGCCCGCCGCCACTCACCTGCCACAGCTCCGTCGCCGCCGCCGCGCTCCGCCGGGCGGCCGTGACCTACTTTCGGCTCCCGAGCGAGACGTAAACAATCCCCGCCCCGCAGCCCGCCCCCCGCGCCGCATTGGCCCCGCGGCCGCTGGCGGGCGCTGGCGGGCGCTGCCGGGTGCTGGCAGCTCGGGACTGCGGACAGGGGGCGGGCCGCGCGGGGCATGCCTACTACCGAAAGGTTGCCAGACCTGTCAATCCTGACTCCACATCCCCATTGGTCAGCTCTCAGCCGTCGGAGAGAGGGCCCGTGTGCCCATTGGACGCGGGGCGAGGCAGGGACTGACACGGAAGTGAGCCATTTCCGGTTCATCGTCGGCACCGGAAGTGCGTGCACTTTACGTGAGATGTGATTGGCTGAGTGGAGCACCGGTGGGCCTATCAGAACGGCTAGGGGGAGAGCGCTGCGAGGGGCGAGGGGCTGGGGCAGAGGACGGAGGCTGTGCCGCGCCGCGGGAGGAATGGAGGTGGCGGCGGGTGAGTCCGCTGGGCCGGCCGGAACGGGAGGGGCCGGTCCGCAGCTGCTGGTCGCAGCCCCCGGTGTTCAGGGCAGCTGTCGTGGGCGCCCATAGGGCGCACGCAGGGTGCTTGGAGGGGGCCAGCCGCGTCTTGCTGCGCCCGGAGGCCTTGGTTCGGTGGCCTGGTGGCGGCCGAGCTGTGGTTGGAGCGGGGGTCCCAGGAAGGGGAGCCAGAGCGCCACGTATTGTTGATTCTTCGTGGAAGTGTTGTTCCAGCATGGTGCGAGCGGGTGCAAGCAGGTGTGGCGTGCTGCTCCGGGGCTGCCGCCGGCCTCGGTGACCAGGACCCGCCGGGAGCCAGGCCCCGTGCCCCTCTCAGCTCCTCCCCGCGAGGCGTTGGAGGCGGGGACCTTTGCACCTCCCTTTGAGAGGAGGGTCTGGAGGAGGGCCAGGGCATCCTTTGTGGAGCCCCCCCCAAGGACCGGGGTTTGCGGGGAGGGTGGTGGGGAGAGAAGCTTGTTGGAGGTTGGGCAGGAGTGCGGACGGTGAGGTCAGAGGGTACTGAGGCAAGAACGTTAGGGTCTTGCAGTGGGACTGAGGGTTGTGTGGGTGCAGATGGCAACCCCTGGGAGAGGCAGGAGTTGGGATGGTAGTTCTTCAGTGACATGTTAGGCTCATTGGAAGGAAGAGTCGGGGCAGAATGGCCCCTGGCCAATAGAGAGCCACAGTTGTTGGGCCCGGGGCTGAACGACCATCCCGTGGCTGCCCTTGTGTGCTTGGGGTTCAAGGCATGGTCTGAGCCAGAGAGGTGGGTATGCGCCCATGCGTCCCTAGAGCTGTAAGCGTCTCTCCTGAAAACCGGAAGCCAGGGCTGCCTTGAGTGCTTCTGACCCCAGGAGAGCAGTTGGGCACCCAGGGATCAGACCTAGATCCTAGGAATCGGGGTAGGGACCGCCCCAGCACAGATGCACCTCACGCCTGTCATGACGGCCCTGTTTCCCCCTGGAATCAGCTGGGAGCCTGCAGCCCCTCTCAGTTCCTATCGCCCTGGTGTGTGTGTGAGCTCACAGGTGCGTGCACACGTGCTCCCAGCAGAGAGGGGCGATTTGAGATAGCGCCTTCAGGGAAGCGACGGGTCTGGTCTGGGGCCTGCCCTCTGGAAGACCGCCCAACTGGGGGTGTTTGCTTCCATCAGGGCAAAGGGGCAGGTCTCAGAATTTGGGACGTGGGAGGTGCTTGTGACCCTTCTGACTGAGCCTCCAGAAGCATCTGGTGCGAAGGGGATTCTCTGCCCTCTTCTCCTTCTGACCAGAGCCTGGAAACCTGGCAGGTGTCCGGCACATCATCCTTGTCCTCTCAGGAAAGGGGGGGGTCGGGAAAAGCACCATCTCCACGGAGCTGGCCTTGGCCCTGCGCCATGCAGGCAAGAAGGTGAGCACCCCCAGCCTTGCCCCTGCACGGACCGACCCTCTGCTCCTGCCCCTCGTGGACGTCCTGCCTCCTTGCAGGTGGGGATCCTCGACGTGGACCTGTGTGGCCCCAGCATCCCCCGCATGCTTCGGGCACAGGGCAGGGCCGTGCACCAGTGTGACAGTGGCTGGGTCCCCGTCTTTGTGGACCAGGAGCAGAGCATCTCCCTCATGTCTGTGGGCTTCCTGCTGGAGAGCCCGGATGAGGCTGTGGTGTGGAGGGGCCCTAAGAAGAACGGTAACGATGGGTGGGGGACGGCACGGTCAGCCCTCTCGCGCCTCCCAGCTGCCGCCACAGTGCTCAATAAAAAGTCAATTAGAAAGTCCCATGGGAGCTGCGGGCTCTCCTCCCCAGGGTTCTTGGGTAAAGCTGGAGACCCCAACAGCCAGCTATTTCCAAAACAGTCCTGCTGCTCACCTGAGCGGTCAGGCCTGCGTGGGAGTTGAGAGCAGGAGGAACCCCATCCATGTCCCTGAGCGGGAAGGGTTCTGCTCAGACCTGAGGCCACCCAGCATGGGGGTGGAGTGCTGAGCCTGGGCGCTGGGCCCTCTGCACCCATAGGCCCCACCAAGCCCCGTAATGGGCGGTGGGAGGGGCAGGCGGCAGGCTCCGCGCAGGGGCTGTGTGCGGGACATGCTGACGCGGCCTGCCGCTGCAGGTCACCGGCTCTCCTGCTGCCGAAGCTGGAGGTGAGCCTGAGTCCAAGCACGGACACCCCAGGAGGGTCACAGCTCCTGGCTCAGGCCTGAGCAGAAGTCTCAGGGGGCAAGGGTGGCCCCACAGCCGGGAAGAGAGGGGTGCTTGTGGGGGCCTGCGCTGTTGGGTGGACCTGGGACGGGCAGAGGCCCCTCTGCTGGAGGCGAGGGGCTCGGTGAGACCCCAGTGAGCCCCCTGGGTCCTTGCAGCGCTGATAAAGCAGTTCGTGTCTGACGTGGCCTGGGGACAGCTGGACTACCTGGTTGTGGACACCCCACCAGGGACCTCTGACGAGCATATGGCCGCCGTGGAGGCGCTGCGCCCCTACAGCCCACTGGGGGCCCTCGTGGTCACCACGCCCCAGGTACCGCAGGACCACCTTTACGTTGCCCGGCTGTCCTCAACCTCACCTGGGACCCAGCACTGCTCTCGGCTCTTTACGCCTTCAGTGGTGCGTTTTGAAGTTACCCACTGACCCGCTGTCCTCTGTTCCCTGGTCTCAGGCAGTGTCTGTGGGGGACGTGAGGCGGGAGCTGACCTTCTGTAGGAAGACAGGGCTGCAAGTGGTTGGGGTCGTGGAGAACATGAGTGGTTTCGTCTGCCCACACTGCGCAGTGAGTCCTGGGGACTTGGCGGGTGGTCACCAGCCCTTGCGGGACGCGGGGCAGAAACTCAGGCATGCTGTGGGGGGCGAGGACACCCCTGGACCTGCCCCTGGCGTGTGTGAGAGGTTCCTTACGGGGGGCCGCATGTCTGTGTTCTAGGAGTGCACCAACGTCTTCTCCCGGGGAGGCGGGGAGGCGCTGGCCAGACTCGCCGGAGTCCCCTTCCTGGGTGAGCGCAGCAGGGCCGCCGCTTGGCCTCTGCTCTGGGGCTCTGAGTTCCCCACGCCCAGTGGGCATGAAAGATGGCAGCGGGCAGCTGGGCTTGAGCGGGCGCCCGCGGGAGCCAGAGGCTGGCCTGGGAGCTCTGTGCGGGGTGGGGCTGGGAAGCTGGCCCCTCGCCCTCCGCTGCCCTCACAGCCCCTCTCCTGCTGTCTCCCTTCGCAGGCTCTGTGCCTCTGGATCCTGAGCTCACGAGGAGCCTGGAGGAAGGTCGAGACTTCATCAGGGACTTCCCTAAGAGTCCTGCCTTCCCCGCGCTCTCCTCCATAGCCCAGAAGGTTCTGAGCAAGGCGCCTGCTCGGCTCTCCTAACCAAGGCGGCCCCCCTCTCGCGTCTCCTGGCCCCGTGCACACAGGCCTAAACAGGGGCTGTGGCTGTGCAGGCGTCTCCCTGCCCCTGGAGCCACGCCGAGAGTGGGCGGTTCTGCCCAGTGGGCCGGTGGCAGTCCCAGGGGAAGGTGTGGGGTCCCGGCGGCTGAACTCTCAGGTGACGGCACATCCGCTCTTGTCACAGTGCTCACGTGCCCCCGACCCATGGCCGGGCTGCACCTGGCAGCCCAGGCTCCATGTGAGGCACGAAGCCTGCGTGTCTGGAAAATCCCTGGGGCGTCTGCCGTCCTTAGGGCCGCCCTGAGCAAAGCTGGTGACAGCGGGGAGCATCTTGTGAAGTGTCAGACTTGTTAACATCAGAAGAACCCACAATTAAACGTCCCCCTGCTGCAGCTACAGGTCTGATGCTTTCAGAGTGTGGCGCCCTGGTCCCGCCTGCGCCTTAGCATGCTGGTACACTCCACGGCAGCCAGCCCTGCCCCCTGATGCCCGGCCCGCAGGCCCCTGCAGACGTCTGGGTCAGGTTTGGGGACAGACTGGAGAAATGCATGTTCTGGGGGGAGGCTCAGCCCGGCGCAGGTTACTGCCCATGTCCGATCGCCCGCCACACCCTCCACGCCACGGAGCCGGGGCAGAGCTGGGAGTGAGGTGCAGGCGCCCCAGGGAGAACAGGAGGGAAAGTGGGACAGGGCACTGCACGGTGCTCTTCCCAAGGGAAGAGGTTGGGGTGTCAGCAGAAGAGACAGGGTGGCCCCCAGGGCAGGGGTGACAGGTCCAGGTATGCCGTGAACAAGAGGGCAGGGGCAGGGCTGCTGGGGTGGGAGGGGGGTGTGGGCCGGGGGCCGGGGATTGAGAACCCACATCCACACTGGCCCCGAGCAGTGGCCGCCCCGGCTCTGCCCAGCTTCCCAGGACCAGGGCGTCCAAGGACGCTGCCGGAGAGGACAGCTGAGGTGCTGGGGCTCTGGACAATGGCAGGGGGTGCCGCTACCCGTCAGGTGCAGGTGGGCATCCCGGGAGGGACGTGGGCTGGGGGCACGGGCCCAGCTTTCCTTCCCCCCAAAGCTACACTGCTGTGGTCACATGCGTGTGTCAGATGGCTTTTAATGAGGGGCTGCTGGGGGGGCCAGGGCCTGTGTGGTGGCAGTGCCCATGCCAGCAGGACCCCACGGCTGTACCGTGTCCCCCCACTAGGGGGACGCCATTGTGACCCCGGGGCGGCATCGGGCCAGGC